AGAGCACTTCCATTGAAGATCTCTGAGAAGCTCAGATTAAGGGCAAACTGTGCACCAGCAGGCTCCTCATGCCCACTCAGATGAGGGCCTGAAACAGCCAATCAGGAAATATGCTGGCTGAAAGAGACCTTGGAGGTCATCTGCTTGTAAGGTTTTACCAGATTTTAAAGTTTGGTGAGGCTCCTTTTTTTTTTTCAAAAGGAACCAAAACATGTAAAAGTTTTAACCAACAGTTTAAATCTTTGCTGTTAGGCAAGAAAGCCTACTTGCCAGAATCCCCAAAGCACCTCAGTGGAACTTCAGGTTTCAGTGCTAGGAGCACTGTCTGAAAGTTCTGGTCTAACTCAGCTTGCCCCTCATGCAGAACTCTCCTTAGGAGCCACCCGGCCTCTGCTTGCATATCCGCAGTGACGAGGGCCTCACCACCTTGCTAGGCAGTCTGTCCTATCATGAGTTCTCTCCATGCTGAGCTCAACTGACTCTAGGGCCTTAGCCTGTCCTTCAGAGCCCCAGAACCCACACAGCCCGACAATACTTCAGTGGAGTGTGCACAGACTCCTGGTTCTCCCTGAGGCTTCTTTAGGTCAGGAGGCCAAACCCCAGGGGCTGTTTCCCTCAACATCTCATCTTCCCTCCAGATGTGACTGGCCGCCATAGCACCTAGTAGTTGGCGAGAAGCAAGGAAGCTACTGTTGAGTGCATGGCTGTGGCCCAGCCAGCTGGAACTTAGTATGCACAAAGGCAAAGGAAACAGGAAGCGTCTTGTGTCAGCGACTGCAGCTTTCTTGGAGCCTGTTTCAGTGGATCCAGGGAGGCTTGGGGTGGTCTACTGGGGTAGGCCACAGGGTGCCCTGGCTCTGGTTGTTCCTCCCCTGCCCTGAAGGCTGTGGGCTCTCTCTCACTGCTCTTTTCAGGAAGGATACTGTACTCATGCAGGATCAGCTGCACCAGCTTTTCTGAGCACTGGGTCAGTGTGACTGTTGAGTTAAAGGAGATGCCACCACCTTTCTTGGGCTGGAGGAGGAAAGGGGAAGAGATGCTGACAAAGGGTTAGCTGCAATGGCCTCATATGCCTTAGCTGTTGTCTGACCCAGTCCCAAACCACCCATACTGCAGCCTGAAGGTAAGAGGGGCCTCACCTTGAAGTAGATGTTGGGCTTGTGCTTGTTGAGGCGGATGCCCACTGACTCCAGTTCTTTCTCCAGCAGAGACCTGGGCAGAGCACCGACAAATTTTCACAGGGGCCCTGAGGCAGGCCGCACAGCTTCTATGTTACACAGGAAGCCCCTGCCCACCCACATCAACACCCTCCTCTACCTGCCCCCTACAATCTAGAATATTCCTTCCCAATGACTCAGAGCTACAGAGGAGGAGCTTCTGGACCCTCTGCCCAGTCCAGAGCAGACCAGCCAAGTCTGTGATCCAAGTGAAAAGGCAGGCCTGGTATGCCCCTTAGCCAGCAGGCTAGGGCATGAACAAGGCTTCTGTTGCTTGGGGCTAGGCTCCTAGTAGGTTCTGGGCAGTGACTGGGTCACTGGGCCTCTGCTAGCAGGAGTCAGAGCCAGGCCACATACCTTGGGCCTAGGACAGCCTCTGTGCTAGATGTAAGCCTCTTGGAGAGGATGTGTCTCTCCAAGGCTCAGTGCATTGGGTTTAACCTGTGGTCAGTCCTATCACTACTTCCATGTGACAAGGCCAAGCACCCCTTGGACCATCCAGAAGCTCCGGGACACATCTGCAGGAGCCAAGGTGTCCCAGTGCCATACCTAGGCCTGCCTCCTACCCAACCCTGCAGACCTTTGCACCTCTCCTTTGGTGGCATCCAGCATCATGATGACGACATCAGCTGTGCGTGCCACAGCAATCACCTGCCGGCCACGGCCTTTCCCTGGACAGGTAGAAAGGACATTACACAGTGACACAAACAGGACCCGTGTGACCCCCACCCAGTCCACAGCGCCCGGACTCCTGTCCTTTATAGACCTGCCACATGCCACTTTCTGGGCTGTGATTTCTTTGGCATTTTTCTTTCATCTAGATGCTGTCTGACTCATGGAGACTTGTTTTAGAAGGAAATCCAACATCACCGCCTTGGGAGAAGTGACATCCTCCCTCTCCCCCTACTGTGTGGCATGCCCTGTGCTAAATGCTTCATGAAAATTTCCTCACTTAATCCTTAAAACTATCACATATGGTTAGTGTTGAGGTTTGGCTTAGAGATAATCATTTCTTCGAGAACACAAAGCTAATGTGATGCCAGGATTTGAACTCGTCTGCCCTTTCTAGAAAACAGGGTGTTAGAATGCTCACCCGGGGCTGCAGAAAGGATCACAAGAGACAACAAAGGAGGAGGTGCTTTAGAGACTACCATACAAAAACCAGACCTAATTATTATTAGACCAAAGAAGTCAAGAACTTTGCCAACATCACACAAAGTCAGGGACCAAAATAGCAATACCAGGATCTGTGTAGTATGGGTTTCAACTATGACCTGCCTCCCTCTTCTAAGAGTAAGAGGTTAGACAAGGTGATCTCCATGGGCCAGCTGCCTTCTGCCTCCAGCCCATGCCCTTCCACCACATGTGACCAGACCACCTCCAGATCCCCAATATGCTGGCTGGGATGGCATGGAGAACCATCACCACTCCCCACAAACCAATTCAAATAGGCAGGATCTCGCTACAATGAGGGTGGTGGGGCGTGGGAGGGTGTATAGCAGAGATTGCACTTGAATACCTAGAGAGGACACCTCGCTGCCAGCCAGGGTGGGGCTATAGAACCAGAGAGGCAGCTCCAGTCCCAGCTCTGCCACTTAACAGCTGAATAGTTGTTTAGGGAAGACCTTTAACCTTTCTGTCCCTGGGGTTCCTCCTGGCTATAAAAAGGAAATGATGATGCTCCCTAAGTCATAGGACTATCTAAGGATTAAGTGAGATAATGATCAGCACAGAGCCCAGCACTTAGCAAGTGCTGGATAACCAGCAGTTAGTAATCATCTCTGCAAATGCTGGATGCAGCCACCTGCCACCAGAAGCACAGGCATGATCCTATCTCAGAAAAATAAAATAAAACGAAAACCCCCAAAACAACGAAGGACAGAGCTCCATGACTAGGAGCATGGTCTGAGTTTGCCAGCTAACAAGAATCTTAGCAGGGGGCATGGTGGAACACATGGAGTGGAAGTGGGGATTCAAGCCCATTTGGTAAGCTGGGCAACCTTGGGCAAGACATTTCATTGCCTCAGTTTCCTCAGCTTTAAGATGTGTTTCTCCTGGGAAAAGCGTCCCTTAGGAACAGAGCACTGAGCAGTGTGAGGAGCTGTGAGCCCCATCCATCAATCCTTAACGGCCACATCCAATTTTAACAGTGAGGCTCCTGAGTCCCCTGAGGGAGAAGACAGGCTCTGGGTGCCCATCTCACACCTTGTGCTGCGCCTTCAATGATTCCAGGAAGGTCCAGGAGCTGGATGTTGGCTCCTTTGTACTAGGATGCAGAACAGAAGACGGTAAGGTAAGGATGGGCCACCGCTGGGCAGGGCCTGCCTGAACCCAGGACATGTACAACAGCCTACAGCTAGGGGCTGTAGGAACCTTGGGGTCAGCCTTCATGGCCTTGTCTGAGCCACCTGGGGAGGGCTCTAGAGTTTTCAGTCTCATAACATTCATTGCTGATGATAACAGCACTTCACAAATCAAGTGCTTCATAGTGAGAGGCTCAAGGCCACAGGACCTGGGCTGCCCACAGCTCTAAAGCTTCATGGGAAACAGGATCCAGCCAAGCAGCAATGAGTGACCTGAGCTGGGGTGGTGTGGGCGAGTGGAGCACAAAAGGCACTATACGCTGGCCTGACTCCTGAAACCAGTTAGGATTGCAGGATAGGCCAGGCATCTCTGGAGTCTTAGCAGCCAGAATCCCAGAAGTGCCAGTGCTTGAGGGCAAATAAGCTCAGTTCAGAGCCTTCCCCTACACAGGGACACCCATCCCTCAGAAACAGACACAGACACACCTGCACAAGCATGCACATAACATATACACAATTATAAACACAAGCATACACCCTTTCCCCTCCTGAGATCCAGCAAACTCCAACTTACTTCAATAACCCCGGGGATACACGTCAGGGTTGTGAATTCATAGGATGCAGCTTCGCTGGCTGTGGAGGTCATTAGACTCAAGAAAGTAGACTAGAAGAAAAAGAAAGCCACTGTATTGAGGAATCTTGTCCCAGTCTCCTTAGAGAATCTCCACAGGCTGCGAGCAGCAGGGAGATCCCTTCCTCACCCTCAGCTTGGTGATTGGAGGGGCTGTGAAAGGATCAACACCTGGAAAAGTTGCTTCTAGCCCCGCCCAGGAGGAGATGGGCACCAGAGAACCCCTCCATTCCTCGGAGGCCTCAAGGCCTGTGTCAAGAGGACACAGGGACCTAGTTTCTTAAATCAGGGGCCCTTCCCTAGCTCCACAAAACCCTCCAGACCTTCCTGGGCCCCAGAGAACTTCGAGATGGCAACAGCCCCATGGCACTTGAAGTTGCTGCTCACTCAGGGAGAGGCAAGATATACAAGGAGATACTCACCTTCTGGTCTGAGACAAAGCCAGATGGTGGGAGAAGGTGCTGAGAGAAAGGGAGGGGTGAGATGAGAAAGACCTAGATGGAACACTGTAGGAATGGAGCTGTGGCTTGGCTAGATGACAGAGACCTGGCCTGGAACCTTGCCTCTGCTGGAGAACCCTGGGCAAGAAACTTAATCCTCTAAGCTTCAGAGTCCTCATATGTAGAGTGGGCATCCAATCAGGGCTGCATGGGGGTTAACGGAGATGACAAAGCACAGGGCACACTGAGTCCAGGTTACAGCAAGACCACAGTGCTGGATACTATGGCCCAGAGGGCAAGTGCAAAGCAGTGGGCAGTATGAAGAATAGAGGAAACCCAGCCCCAGCCTCCTGTGCCCATCTAGTCAGCAGGGCACCTGGAATAAAAAGCCTGAGAAGCAGTTGTGACGAGGACAGTGCCGCCTGGACCTGGGGCTTGTGTTGCCTAGACCCTGCCCCTCACTGCCAGGCAGGAAGTCTGGGGACATACCTCACTCACACACCCTCAGACTTCTGAAACCCAGAATGGGGCACATGAAGGAAACACAGGCCCCAAATCCAAAAACACTCCACCCTGGAGACCTCTTGGAAGGAGGGCAGGGGGAAGCAAGGGCTGCCGAGACACGGAGCAGTGGTTGCTGGAAGATGTCCCTGATCCTGTCTGGCCTCTGCTGGAGAGACCTGGGCCCTTCCATGGCCAGAGAGCCTGGATTTCTACCAAGGTGGTGGGGTCTGGCCAGAGGGCCCAGACCACAAGGGGCATAGACCCTGGGAACTAAAGTAGCTTCTTCCAACCTGAGCTTCTCATCTGGTAAAGAAGCCCTTGGAAGACTGGAAAGTAAAATCAAAAGAAAAGACTAAAACTAACGAGCTCATAATAATACACAAAGAGGTAAAGCTTGGAAATCTTCATTTGTCACCTGTTGGACAGCTGTGAGCCCAACGTCTTGCTTGATCTTTAAGGGCAACAGGTAAGCATCTATCCTACCTTTCCTGGTGGAACTTTTCGGAGTAACCAAACAGCTCACACTGATGAGACACAGTGTTACTTTACTGAGGAATGTCAGCTATTAAATGTGGAAGAAGAGAAGTAGAAAATTGCCATTTTACAACCACTAATAAAAATCCGCAGGCAAAGACAATTCACTGGTGCCAAAGCCACTAAAAGGATGTTGACAGGGCCTGACTTCTATGAGCCACAACAGTAGCACCCCGCAGGCGATTTTCTAATTTGTTTGTGTGGGGAGAATGTCACTCTATGGAGGGGAACACAGGGTGTCCCCTCTTTTACCCAGTGGTCTTAGAAATACAACTAGCTCTCAGAGATTTTCTGGCATGGTGTAAAATGAGGTGCGCACCATCTCCCACATAAAACCTGGGCAATGTAGTCCCAGCTTTCAGCTCACGGGAAGTATAGTGAATAGACAAACAAGCTAAAGCACAGCATAAAGAAGCAAGCAGACCACTCCAGAGCATGAAATTTTCTGTAGGACAACTGGTCTAGTTTCTTCAGTGAGTCAGGGTCATGACAAAAGGGATTAAAGCACACAAAGGGACAACACACACAGGGGTTACATGTGGTTCCAGAATGAATCCTAGTTTGGACAGACTAGTTGCAAAGGCCATTTTGGGGTAAATACTGAAATCATAATATAGTCCAGGCATTAGACAAGTAATTTTGTTAATTCTGTTAATTTTGTTTGGTCTGATATAACAGTTTGTGGCCAAGTAGGAAAATGTTCTTATTCTTTGGAGATACAAGCTTAAAGACTTAGGGGTAAAAGGTCATTAAGCATGACACCTGTAATTTACTCAAATGGTTCAGTCAAAACAAAACAAAACCCCATACACTCATACATACAAAGATAGAGATAGAGCAATATGGCAAAATGTCAGTCAGTGATGTATCTAGATGGAGGGCATATTGTATCTGTTTTCATTTCTTCTGCATATTTTTAAATTTTTATTATATAAAATTGGGAAAAATGAGAAAGGATCAAAAAGACAGAGCAATCTGGAAACCATACCAGGATTGAAAACTGTGAGGGTATTCAGCCAGCAGAGGGCACACTTGGGGGATGTCTCTACTCTCTTGGCAGGAGGGGCTCCTGAAGCTGGGGTGTCTGCTCCTTCTGAGAAGCTGAAGCAGGAGGCCCCTGAGCCATTCCACATCCGGCTTTTGTGAAGTTGGAGAATCATGAGCACCCCATCACTAAAGGAATTCATGCACAGGCCAGAAAACTACATGTAAAAGGGGTGCTCACATTTTATGAAAGGGTTGAAAGGGATATGTTAGATGAACTGCAAAAGGCTTGGAGAAGTAGGAGTTACAAGGGGCTCGGCAGCTGATTTCCAGAGTATTTTGTAACTTTCATCTACAGCAACTTTCCCAGCCTCACTCTACCTGGCTCAGATGATTACTAAAATGACATTGTTTCCTGAGCCCACACCATTAGAGGACAAGGAGAAAATCAAGCAGCTAGGTATTGATAATAAAATCTAATTGGGATAAGAATGTTCCTTAAGATTAAGAAACATTTAAGTGCCCCCAGGAAGGAATCCTGCAGATTCCGAAGCAGAGCCCAGTCTTAGTCCAGTCGGCATCTGCCCCAGCACATGCAACCCAGCCTAGACACAGCACTGTATATAGTGGGTGCACTAGGAAATGTTCCCAGCTGTTCTCAGCTGGAGACAGCTAGAGCTTATTTAGTGGGTAAGTGGCAGGGCTGATGGCTGTTTTAAAAACCAAAACCCCTGAGCCACTGTGCCTACATCTAGGAATGCTTCTTCCAGAAACACAACTTCAATGCGCAAAGCTCCAAACACAAGGACATTCATTCACTACAGCACTGTGTGGTCGAACAGCCAGGTGACCAAGGTCAACATCAACTGTGATTAGTTATGTTGATAGTATGTACCCTTGATATGATGTGATAAAAATGGCACTTTACCTCTGTGGCCTTCCTCCCAAACCTATAACCCCAGTCTAACCATAATAAAAACATCAGACAAACCTCAATTAAGGGACTTTCTACAAAATATCTGACTTGCACTTCTCAATACTATCAAAGTCATCAAATCAAGGCAAGTCTAAGAGGAGCCTGAGGAAGACATGACAACTGAGTATAATGTGGTCTCCTGCGACAGGTAAAACTACGGAAATCGGCATAAAGTATGAACTTTAATAAATAATAACAGATAAATATTGAGTCATAGTGTGATAAATGTACTGTACTAGTATAAGATGTTTACAATAGGGGAAACTGGGTGTGGAGTATACAGGAATTCTCTGCACTGGCTTTGCAATTTTTCTATAAATCCAAGACTCTTCTAAAATTTAAAGTTTATTTAAAAAAAAAAAAAAAAAAAAGCCAGTCATCTCAGTGCCTTTTCTGCTCAAAACCCTTCAATGATGTTTATTTTACTCCCAACATAAAAATATAGATTTTACACTAAACTAAAATGCTTACAGAAAAAACCTTCTAGAAAATTCTGTAGTGTTCCCTGATTCACTCTTCTTCACTCAACGCCAAAGTTATGTGACAGCCCTCAAGGAAATCCACCCTTTATAATTCATCTCCTACTGCTTGCTGCTCACTCAGACCCGGCTACCTTGACCCCCTTGAATACACCAAGCAAGCTCCCACCTATGGGCCTTTGTACTCACTGTTCCCTCTGCCTGGGATGTTCCTTCCCCAGGACTCTGCAAGCTCCCACACTTCAGTCAGGCCTCTGCTCAAATATCTGCTCACCAGAACAGCCTTTCTGGACCCTCGACATAAATTGGTGGGACCTCGACCCCCACTCCACACACCCCTCCAAAGCAGTCCTCACCACTTAATACACCTGATACTCCATTAGCTTACTGTCTTTCTCCCCTGAGAATGGGAGTTCTGTAGGGGCAGGAACAGAACTGTCTCATCCCCTGCTGTATCTCCAGCACCTGGCACATGGTGTACACACAATAAATGTGCACAATGGATGAGCTAAGTGGAGCTACTTCTGCTAGAGCTGTAAGAATGTTCTCCATGTTAGGATGATACAGGGGTGAGACTTTATCCTGGGTCTTCTCTGTCCCTGGAAATAATCCAGAGGGGCAGTGAGAAGAGGCATAATCATGTTTGAAAGGAGACATCCCGCCTTTCTGCCCAAAGCCCACACTGATCATCACTGACCTTACCCACAGAAGGAAATCCAATCAATGCCACACGGGCATCGCCTGACTTCATGACATCGAAGCCCTCTCCTTTGGATGAGGCCGATTTGGATGGTTCCAGGAGCTGGGCCCGATACTTGGCAAGTTTTGCTTTCAACAAGCCCAGGTGATACTCGGTGGCTAAAGGATGAAAAGCAAGATAGAAGGTAAGTGTTCAAAGTATCCAAGCCCCATGGTCAAGTGGGGCCCCATATTCAACCAAGTGTTGGCTGGGAATATCAGAACCATCTGCAATCATTGTCAGAGAGATCAGGAAAGAAAAGACCACCCCTCTGCTTAAAATGACCCTTGGCTTCTCACTTCATTTAGAATAAAAACAAACCTCCTTATTGAGACTTCGATACCCCATGTCAGTGGTTGTCAGTGGGGGAAGCACCATTCCATGAGACATTCTGGAAATTCCCAAGGATGTTTTCCACTGTCACTCTGATGGTAAAGTCCTCACTGACATTTATTGGGCAGGGGCCAGGGAAGCCAATTGCTGTACAAGGTGTGAGTTAGTCCAGCATAGCCTAGAATTGTCTGGTGTCCTACATGACTTTTCATGTCCCAAAGACATCTAGAGGGAAAACCTGGGTTAGGATCACTGGGGCATGGAATCTAACTATTCCACATATAAACACAGGGCATTTTTTGCAGTGTGAATAAATGCTGAAATTTCCAGGAATGCAATTCCTATGTATGTTCAGAGAAGTTTTATTTGAAACTATACCTAGAGTTGCTCACCATCCTGGAATCTTTCCACCTTAGTAAACCTAGCCTCTACCCCAACACTCTGCTATATCACCCTGGTTTGTCTTCACGAAATTTATTACTGTCTAAAATTATCTTATTTGATTACTACTTTACAGACTGTCCACTGGCAGGTCAGCTCCATGAGGGCAGAGATGTTCTTGCTGTGTTTACTGCATTAACCACAGTGCCTAACACATAGTAAGGGCTCAGCAAAAATTTAAAGAATGCATGATAGAAGCCCCTCAACTTCTTAGCCTTTACAACTAAATGGTGCCAAAGGAGGACAGGCACTGAGACTAGCCACCTAGCATTCCTTGGTTTCTGCCCCTGTAATCCCACAGCAGGTCTGGCCAGACACTGGGCCTCACCCACCTTGGCCAATAGCATACCCCATTACTCAAAACCCTCTTTCTAATCTAGATTATTCTCCTCAGCGTCCCACCTTGACTCCCATGCTTATGCCTCAGCAATGACCCTCACCTGGAATATCCTCCCCTCCAGCAGCTCAAGTGCCACCTCCTCCTGGAAGCCTTCTTGGGTGCCACCATTTTCCTCCACATTTCTCTTCTCTGAGCTCCTGCAGCCCTTACAATCTTAAATCCAGATTTGATGCTTCATTATGTGCTATCCATGTTGGGAGGTTTACTTTAAATACTTAGTGTTCACTATGTGCCTAGTGCTCTGCATATGCTATCTAGTTTAACTTAACCTATGGGTAGGGGATTATTGTCCCCATTTGCAGATGAGGACATCGAGCTCAAAGAGGTGAAGCGACTTTCCAAGGTTTCACAGCAGGTAAGTGGGTTCAAAGCCAGGTGTGCCAGACTCGAGTCTTGATTGCCACCACAATTACACCCAGGGTACCCCGGCTGCTAGGTGAGGTTGTATCTGCGAGCCGTCTTCTCCCAGCCTTCCCAGAACAAAAGGGGAGAGAACGAACCCTCCAAGCCCAGCCACCAGGTGAACCCTGGCTCTGCCTCTCTCTGGGACTGATGCTTGCGCTGTAGCTGGGATTTCTCTATCAGGTCACCTGGCCTGGCATTGATCAGATCTCTCTGAGGTCGTTTGCAGTCCGAATGGGGCCAGACCCTGCCTGGCCCTGCCTGCCTCGGCACAAATCCGGCACTTCTCTTCGGCTTTGGAGCCGGCTCCGGCTCTACCGCTGGAGTTGTTCCCCGGTTTAACAGACAGGAAAACTGAAGCGGGCAGAAAGGAAGGCCCCGTCGGGCAGGCCCTCACCCTTGTTCTTCTGCGTCCGAGCGATCTCCTTTTCGATCTCGGATATCTTCTCCAGAATCCCCATGGCCGCGGCTGAGCGTACCAAGAGAGACAGCGGCGAAGCCGGGAATTCCGGCCTTGCGGCGGCGCGGCGGCGCGGCGGCCAAACAGCCTGCTCCCGGAAACCCACGAATAACAGCGTACTCGTGCGCCGGGTGCTCTGGGATTCAGAGTCCGGGTGGGCGACGCCGAGCGGAGTGCCAGACACAATTGGTTCCGCCTCTGAGCCGATGACGGCTTCGAGCCGCTAGGATGGGCCAGGGTGGGGGCTATGCCCGGCAGGGGCGGGGTCGTGCTCTCCTGGACTGAGGCAAGAATGGGCGAGAACCAGCCGTGGGAGACAGAGAAGGAATCTTACATGATGAACCCTGAACTGCAGGTCCCGAGCATAACTGACTTTGCAGGTGTATAGAAAAAGCGTTGAGCCTAGTGGCTCTTGTTTTGTGTAGAGGTTAAAAGCGGGTCCCCATGACCACATTAACCAAGAGTTCCAATTTAGCCTTGCTCTCTGCCATCAGATACCTCCTGATATGATGCAGTGTAGACAGCAACTCTTATGTGGAATTCTTGCCAAAAAGTACTGTATCTGAGTTTAGACATGAAGAAACATTAGACAAATCTAGAAAGTGGTTCATTTTGTAAGACAAGTGGCCTGGGCTCTTCGAAATTGTTAATGACGGGCAAAAAGGCAGGGAGGCTGTTCTAGATTAAAAGACATTAAATATAATGTGTGGACCTTGTTTAGATTCTGGTTGAAAATTTTAAAAGTAGCTATAAAAACATTCTTAGGACAATTGAGGACAAGTTGACTTTGGACAGGATATTAGATGTTATGGAGTAATTGCTAATTTTCCTGGGTGTGATGATGTAGAATGAATGTCATTCTTAGCAGATGCATGCTGTGGTTTTTAGGGATTGTCTTAGTTTGCTTAGGCTGCCGTAACAAAATACCACACATTGAGTTGATTAAACAACATAAATTAATTTTCTCAAAGTTCTAGAGACTGAAAGTCCAAAATGGAGGTGCCGAGTGTGGTTGGGAGCCCTCTTCCCAGCTGGGAAGGCAGCTCTGAACTTTGCTTGTTCCTGCTGCCCAAGGAATCTTTGAGATAAGAGTTTACAAACTTCTGGAGAGGCTTCATTTGATTGGTGCTTCAAAAGACACAGTAGTCTCTGTTTATCTGCCATTTCTGTGGTTTCAGTTACCCTAGACAACCATAATCTAAAAATACATATTAAATGGAAAATTCCAGAAACCAATTTATAAGTTTTAAATTGTGCACTGTTTTGTGTAGTGTGATGAAATCTCACACAATCCGGCTCCATCCCTCCCAGAAGTGAATCATCCCTTTGTCCTGCACATCCATGCTGTATACCCGCCCATTATTCACTTAGTTACCTTCTCGATTATTAGATGGACTGTCATGGTATCACAGTGGTTGTGTTCAAGTAACCCTTAATTTACTTAATAATGGCCCCAAAGAGCAAGAGTAGTGATGCTGGCAATTCGGATATGCCAAAGAGAAGCTGTAAAGTGCTTCCACTAGGTGAAAAGGTATGTAGGTACAGGAAAAAACATAGTATATATAGAGTTTCAGGCATCCATTAGGGAATGAGAGGAAATATTTGTAAATTATATATGATAATATTTGTGAATTATGTATCTGATAAGGGGTTAATATCCAGAATATATAAAGCACTCTTATAACTCAACAATAAAAAACAACCCAATTAAAAAATGGAGAAAGAACCAGAACAGACATTTCTCCAAAGAATATATACAAATGACCAAAAAAGCACATGAAAAAAATGCTCAAGATCACTAAGGATTAGGGAAATACAAATCAAGACCACAATGAGATACCACCTCACATCCATTAGAATAGCTGCTATCAAAAAACAAAACAAAACAAAACAAACAAAACCCAACCAAAATATAACAAGTGCTGGTAAGGAGGTCTTGGAGAAATTGGAACACTTGTGCACTGTTGGTGGGAATATAAAATAACTGGTTGGAAAATAGTATGGCAGCTCCTAAAATATTTCAAAAGCATTACCATATGATCCAGAAACTCCACTTCTGAGTATATATCCAAAAGAATTGAAACGGGGTCTCAAAGAGATATTTGTACACTCATGTTCATAGCAGCATTATTCATAATAGCCAAAAGGTAGAAGCAACCCAAATGTTTGCTGGATGACAAAATGTGATATGTACATTCAGTGGAGTATTATTCAGCTTTAAAAAGGAAGAAAATTCTGACACATGCTAAATGAAATAAGCCAGTCACAAAAGGACAAATACTGTACAATTCCATTTATATAATGTACCCAGAGTCATCAAATTCATAGAGGCAGAAAGTAAATTAGAGGTTACCAGGGGCTGGGGGAGGGAGGAGAAAGAGTTAGTGTCTAATGGGTACAGAAGTTCTGTTTGGGATGATAAGAAATTTCTGGAGATGCCAATGGTGATGGATGCACAACAATGTGAATGTACTTAATGCCACTGAATTGTCACTTAAAAATGGTTAAAGTGGTAAATTTTATATTATATATATTTTACTACAATTAAAAAAAAAACCTCATTACATGTGATGATATAATTTGCCAAAAAAAAAAAATAATTTGCCAAATAAAAACAAAAAACAAAAACCTTTTGACTATTATCCCTCCCAGTGATTTCCTGTTTATTTGCTTTCCCTAAGCAGCAAAAAACTGCAAGTTGCCTAGTCTGTCTCTGCTTTCTCCACTCTTCTCTCCTAAACCCTCTATGATCCTGATTTGCCCCTTCCATTCTGTGGAAGCCACTCTTATAAGGTCAGAAGTGAACTTCACATAGCTGTACCCCATGGTCAACCCTCAGCATCATCAACATAGTCATTGACATAGTCATCCTTCTAAAGGCACAGCAGTCAGATGGCTTTCAGGTCACCAGCTTGCTGGCCCGCCTCTGGCCCGCCTCTGGCTGTTCCTTCTGTCTCCATCACTGATTCCTCCTTTTATCCATGAGCTTTTCATGTTGGAAGGCCCCTCCGTCTACTCTCACCCTTTTGGTGATCTCATTCCTTCTCATAGTTTTAAATACCCCATCTAGATACTGACAGCTGTCAAATCTGTATCTCCAGTCCAGATATTTCTCCTAAATTTCAGATCCATACACCCATTGCCACTTGGATGTCTACTGTGTATTTATCTCAGACTTAACATATATCCTGCTCTTCCCCTCAGATCTCTGCTATTCACAGCTGTTGCCCCTCAGAAATGACCCATTGTTCACCAAATCTATTTCCTTGTCCCCTGGGCACCCATTCCCCTACAGTTGGATGTGGCCATGTGAATGGGCAGAAACAATGTCACCCTTTCTGGACCTGGTCTGCAAAAACCCACCACTCGATCCTCCGCCTGCCCAGGGCAATCTCAGAAGGCACGGGTTAAGGATGGCACAGTTTCTATTGGCTGAATCCCTGACGATTGATGGAGCAGAGTCCCCCACCCCACCTTGTGCCAACTGGACTTGATGTGAATGAGCAATAAGCTTCTACTAGGTCAAGCCACTGAGGGTTCAGGGTATATCTTTCTAGTAGCTGGTACACATAACTGTTCTGTGTTTTTTTACATTCTGGATTTGTCTATTTGGCATCCATTCATCACAAGACCAATTATTTTAACTATATTTTTTTATTTTCTGTATTTTTGATACTCTGGCATTTATGGTCTTACTGTCTTACTGATTGGGGAGACACTGCTGCCCCCACCACCCAGGTCCAGCCAATTCTTAGAGCACAGGGCTCCCCACTCCCCAGTATGCTTTTCATATGCATACAACCAAGCTGAAGCCCACAAACCCTGCCACCTCCTTATCAAACTCTCATACACCAAATCAATATTCCCCTTGCCCTGATTAACTCAGACCCAGGTACCAGACAACAAGGAACAGTCTCATGCCCCAAGGCCCACTGGAATTATTTAAACTAGCCAGTCTTGAACTGTTTGCTCTGCCCTGCATCGCCTTTCTCTCAGAAACCCCAATAAAGACTCTGGCCTCAGCTTTCCCCTAGCTCCTTTTGCTTCTGGGCCAAAACCTGGTACTTCCCTTGTGGCCCTGTGTGGCATGGCATACCCCCTCCTCTTGAGAAATATAATAAAAGTATTTTTCCAATGGCATTGGTCTCTCCATGTCTTCACTTAGTCACCTCCATAAATTAAAATCCCAAAGGAAACAAATGAGACAGTAACCTTAATTAACACAGTGGCCACTCCATCCTTCTAGCTGCAGAGGCCAAAAACCTTGGAATTGCCTGGACTGTTCTGTTACATTTCATATCCAGTCTGCCAGCAAGTCCTTATGGCTGGCTGTACCTTCAAAACATGCAGATGCCCAGCACTCCTCTGCTGTTACCCCACTGCCTCTCCCTGGGTTTTGCAGTAGGCTCCTCATTGTTCTTTCTGCTTGCATGCTTGATCCCTTTCAGATCCTTTAAAACCTAAATTAAATGATGTTCCTCCTCTGCTCATATCCTCTAATGACTAGTCTTTCTCTGAGTAAAAGCCAAAATCCTTATGTTGGCAAAGACCAACAGGGTTCCACAGGGTCTGACTCTCTTACCCCTCCCCACCACTAACGTTGTTACCTCTGCCCTCACTTCCTACTTACCTACTTGCTGTTCTTCTAGCTCAGCTGGCTCACTCCCCCACCTCTAGGTCTTTGCTTAAATGTCACCTGCTCAATGAGGCCCAGCTTGATCACCTTTTAAACAATTGCAACCTGGACCCAGCCGCAGTCTGAAACTCTCAAACCTCTGGCTCTGCTTTTTTCCCCTGTAATGCTATCACTTAACATCATATCTACTATTACATGAATTCTTTATGATGTCTACTGTTATGTATGCCCCCCACCTCCACAGAAACACAGACCATTCTTAGGATTTCTTATCTGGTGTACACATTTGCATCCCTAGCACAAAGAACAGTGGTTAGCACTGCTCAATGAATGAAAGTCCTGGTGAACATAAGCACTTGCATGTGAAAGGATAGTATCATCCCTTCTTTTTATTTTCCAAGGTCTTGAAGTTCCGGATGGGGGTGAGTTCTCACTGGCTCCATCTGCACACTAACCAAGAATACCAGGCTGATTCTCTATTTTGATGTCATGCTACTGAAAACCTGCATTGCCTCCATGCTGTGAGCAGCACATTCAGTTGAACCAACATTACAAGCCTGAAAGCCTTCTTCTCATTTTTGGTGGGGAAGGCTTGCTTAATTACTTGAACTTCCCTGCATATTATCCACCTGAGAACTTTAAGGCACTCTGGAGGTCATAATAGAACTGGTCTGGCGAGCTGACAAATATAAGTTTAAATAAATTTCCAGGTCATTCCAACGTGCAACCAAGTTTGAGAAGCTCCACTCCAATCAGTGCCAGTTAGAGATGGTGTGGAGGGAGGGGACCACTGAGCAATTATGGAGAGGAAAAATGACTAATGCAGTGAATGATGAGGCAAGCTGAAAAATCAGAAGGAAAAAAATGGCAAAATAAACTTGAACTTCAGCATATGCTTCTCTACAAATCAAAAGCCTGTGTGTTTTTCCTCCTATGTATAAATGGGAAGTGTCAATCTTTAGATGTTTTAGAAGGGAAAATCTGGAGGAAAAAGCTGCTCAACTGCAATCCAATTTCCAGGCACTTTTTTGTGTCAAAGCCAGCTGCCTTTTTCATAACTGAGCAATTTTAATACCTTCCTCCTCCAGCGCAGTTCAGATCAATGGAAACAGCATTGATATTTAAGATTTTCCTTCTATTGTCTTGCCGTTGGTTTCACACTTAACACAATCTACACATTTTCTGCTGTTCCTATGTATGGCTTAAAGCAAACTAAAGGTTAAAAATTGAGGATCTAAGAACTGAGATATGAAAGGTTTTATTAGCTTTGGGGGTCAGAAAATCCCAATTTCCCTTCTATTGCAGACTATCAGTTCCCTGAGGGTGGGGAGTATGGCTTATTTCTGCATCATCCGCAATACCTAGAATGGCACACTGCATGTAGCAAGCCTCAGTCAATATTCTGTAGCATTATTACTAAGCGAGAACTACATTTTACATGTGTGGAGGATTTTTACAGCTTATAAAGTGCTTTTAAGAAAAGCAATGAATCCTCAACAACGCTTTGATCCAGGTAGAGGTTGTTCTTTCTACTTTCTAAGTGAGGAAATTTGGGTTCAGAGTCTAGCTAATGCACAGGAAGTCACTTTAGGACTTAGAGGCAGATCTGGAAGGACCTAGGTCTGAAGGCTTTTTCCACTACAAAACAACCAATAAATGGTGTCTTCAACCAAGAGTCCAGCATTGTGAATAGTCTATTCCTTTCTCAACACATCTTGGGAGAAGAGTTTATTATTGCTCAAACAACATGAGAACAGAGACTTTATACACACAGGGGAACTCTGCCCTGACAAATAACATAAATTCCCTTAAAATTTAAACCTTTTCAACACTGTAAACATTTTCTCAAAAATTCAAATGATGTTTACAGCTATGTTCCTGGGTGCTGCCTAGGGAGGTGGCACCTGAAACCTAACACTTTAATAAGGTGTTCTGCCACAAGATCAGCATGATCTGTTAAAATCAGAATCGAGCTTAACAGGCTGAGTTAGGGCCCTAGGTTACAGGGTGCAAAGAAATCAAGGGCCAGAACTTGCCACCTACATCTGGCTTCAGGACATTGCTGGTGCAGCCGTTCAGGAACTGAGGTTCTTTGGGGCTCAGGTACTTCCTCCAAGGACCAGGCACTGAGGGGAGAGGGGCCACTGCCTGTCCGTCCACATCGCCTGTGCCAACGCCAGACTGCGAAGCAGATGGTGAACATATAGCTTCATTTGCCTATTCTGTGTTAAATAAAAGTATAAATTCTGAACACATGCAAAAAAATATAGAAATCAACAAAATACAGCTCGAGTAGAAGTACTGAGTGTCTGACAACATCCAGAACGAGAAGAAAATAAGGGCATGGCACTGCATCGCTTCCCAAGTAGGCCTCAGCCTTTTCGCAGCCTGTAGGGGTCTCAGGGTCTCCAGTGGCCCAGAAACCTTCACAGGGCCAGAAAGAGGCTGGTGTCTTCTAACTAAAAGATTTTGATTTAGAAATAGGACAGAATCACTGCTTAAATACCTTTATTTTAAAAAAATTATTTGGACATTGATAGCTCTGCAAAATACTTCTCCCATCCCAAACCCTCAAACCCTTTCCACATGTCCTCCCTAAAGAAACAAAATATTCACACTTTGCACCCATTCACATCTAATTTTTAAAAACGCATTAGGATTCAAAATTGAATATTTTCTTTTCCAGAACTTGTTAGTAATTTTAAACCACAATGCAACACACTTAATGGCATTTCTTTTTAAGAATTAGCTTATCAGACTATTTTATGAGGAAAAAAAAAATCATTTCAAGGCCTTAGAATAGGAATTCCCTGTTCTGAAAACAAATGACATTGAAGCCCTCTGCTCCCATGGGGTTTCTGATTTCCACATCAACAGACCCAGCCCTCAGATGGACGTTCTACTTCATATTAGGCATTGCTCAGGTACTTTTGGGCTGTAGCTGAAAAACTGTAAAGTGTAAAAGGACGGGTGGGTGGGAAGGGATAATTCCAGCACAGAAGAGTGATGAGGCTGAGACTGTAGAATGGAAGTTTTCTGGGCAGTGGAGTAAGAACAGCCAAATCTCCAGGATCCCACCTCTTGGCTGGCTTGTTTGGGGTAGAGGAAGATGGTAGAAAATCTGCAATCGGCACTAATTTCTGAATGATGAATACAAGTGTCAACCAAAGCTATTGCACATAGTACCAGAGGCATGTAAACCACTGAGATTCTGGAAAGAATAATTGCAGATGGAGACGATCCCCAAAGTGCTTTTGGAAACCAAGCAAGAGAAAAAGAGTTGATGTGGACTACATGGGAGTTACCGAGAGGAGGTGGAAAACAATCCTTTCCCTGCCCTCGATGGGCAGGTTTTACACACACATCACAGATGTGTCTGAAAGATCTAATAAAGGTATCACTTCTTCATTTCCCCCAAAACTGGTGCCCTTCATTACGTAGCTAAAAACGAAAAAAATCCTACATAGAACCTGGCCCATCTGGCTAGCTGAATACCATCAACGTTGGCAAATGTCCTTCTCCGCCCTATTGGCCAATCCACCAGCCTCTTAGAGCCACACAGAGGCACTGACAAGCTCCAGAAGGTGACCCCGCCATGCCCAGTGTTCTAAGTAGGGCCTATATCCTTCAAGGAGCTTGCAAAATGCAGACAATGTTCACAAGCATGCTGTGGGAGAATGGAAGTGAAATGCAAAGGCTCATGCTGCATAAAGTCAGCAAAGCCCTGCTGCCTCTTTTATTCTTAGGTGATACCCATCAGCTAAACTGAAGCTACAGTGAGTGTCATCTAATTACTGTGCCTTCAGCTGGGTTTAACCAGACTTACCCATTTGTTGCCTTCTGGAGTTTTAAAATCAAGAAAAACATTTGTGACTCATCTCCGAGAATGGACATGAATCATTTTTCCACGGAAGTCACTGAGGCAACTTTTTCAGGCTCCATTGCCCTGGCCTGACTAGATGGGTTGGTCACACCTCTGCACAAAGCCTTAGGACTATACATCCCAGATGTCCCAATGCTGACTATTTTCCCATGTACTTCTTTAAGGCTTCCCCTAACATTCAACTTTAGTAACATACAGTACACATGTCATTAAAAGGAAAGCCACTCTTTTAAGAACAGAAGACTTCTTGCCACTCATCTAGACCAAGGGCTTTGTGCTGTTTTACACTGCCCATGATATACAATTCTCAGCTTGTTTTGCTCCTGTGAGTTATAATGCTATCTTGTTGTTAAAGCTTTCCCTCTTGTACTCTAAGTTTGTAAACCACCAGAAAATGCCAATCCCTCCCCAAAGCCCTGCCTGTTATCTGTGGTCCACAACTGATGCCAACCTATTAAGCTTTTTAAACATTAAACAAAACAAAATAAACACACACATACATACACACACACTTACTTTGGCACATGAGCCTTGAGTTATTTGAGCGTGTTCATGTTCCCATCCCACCCCCATCCCATTTCAGAGTCACTGTTTTAGGAGAAAGACGGCCCCTTCTGCCCGATGGAAGAAGTCGCCACGAAGCACTGCTGTTTTGAGTAGCAAAAGGAGGAGGTACAAATGCTAAACTGGCCTCAAAAACAGTTCTCATGTTTAGCATTATAATTTATGCAATGCTGCAAAACTTTTGTACCAGGATGACTAGTTCCAAACTGCTGGTTGATTAAATATACATTTACATATATAGGTATAAAAATTACTAAGTCAACATTTGCTGTTTTCAATGTGAAAACGATAAAATGTAATTCTGAATAATTGTGCATTTGCCATAGGGTCCTTGTTAAAGGGACCATAAAAATAATTTTGTAATAAAAAAACTCTTTTTTTTTTTTTTTAAAGTTTAGTATTGCCCTCAAGTTCAAAATTTTGGAGCAAACGTGCTGAGTAAGCAGGATTGGAATCTGTTCCTGCCAGGGATCTGGAAGCCTTAAATTCAGTGACCCCCGATGGCAGGCCCAGGGAACCTAATAGCCACTGACTAGCTTGTCGTGAACATCACAAGGCTGGGCAGCGCCAGCTGACCCTGTTAAACAATCAGCCTCCGCTCCACATTTTTTTGGCGGATACTGCTGCAGCTCACCAACTCCTTGCACAGAGCTCTGGGGGGCACACATGTGCTAGGGCTCTGTTCTGCCTTTTCTTAAGCTACCAGACTAAGCAACTGGGGGGGGTGGGGGGCCTGGATGGGGACCACTGAGCACCAAGGCCGAGGGTGACCAGGGGCTGACCTACTTGGCTAGAGGTGGGAATGGAAGAAGGAATGGGCATTTCAGTGATACAGAAGTTAGCTGTGCAGGAAGGAAAAGTGCATATAAGGTAGCTTTAAAAACAGATTAAGACTAAACTGCCACAGAGAGGGAGGAAGAATGGAGACAGCCTCCTCCACCTGCCCTGCTGGTCAGCCATGCTCCTTGGATTCTGTGGGTTAACATTCATGCTTTCTGATGCGAGTCTGCTTGTGAAGAAACAGGAACACATGTTCTCCTGGTTCTGGCAGGTACACGATTTTCTTGGCAAAGTTCTTTTTTGCCAAGTTCAGTTTTATTTGGTTGCTGTTCTGAACCACTGTCACCGGAATTCATAAATGGGTGCGCTGTGTTCAGGAACATGAGTTAGATTGAGCGACTGATACCTGCAATGGGAGAAAAAACAGAAACGGAAGGCAGTTGTCTCAGCATCCTGAAAACTGAACAAAGGATGTTTTAAAGAACCCCCAACCAGAGTACCCGACAAACCACATATTTGGATGGGAATGCAAATTCATCTCAGACTTCTTTAGGTGAACCAAGTTTGGTTTTATTTCTATTTCTTTGGTTAGTCCTCTTGAACTATGCGCAAGATGAGCTATTTTTAGGCCTTCTGCTCTAATCATGAAACAATTCTAGAGTGTCTTATAAAATGAGAGGCTGAGTAAACTCTGAGAAAAGACACAGACCGAAGCCCTGGTGCTCATTCTTATCCTTCTGCTCACTCTGCCTCTCTCTGATGTCCAGCATCTCAGCTCCTTCTGGAATGTCAAGCTGTAATATCCTCAGAGCTTCATAGATAACATGGGCATATCCCAATTCTCCCAGAATCCAAAGGTAGAATGGAAAAGATAACTTCATAGCTAATCTTTATTTTACCATTCATTTTCATTTTCTCACTCCCCAGACATGTCCGTTAGACTTCAAGGACATTAGAGAATTTTGAGGTGGTGTCTGTGTTTCCCCATTGGCAGGTACTCTGAGTTGAGCAGATGAAGGAGAAACAGAGGCTAGGACAATCCACATATGGGGGTGATAACCCATCGAGGCTGTCAGTTGCTGGTGTGGGTGTTAGCTTTCTCCTAATTTGTTTCACATAGAAGTGAGGAGGAACACAGGAAAAGTAATTTATGTCTTATCCAAAAAATCAACAAGAAAAGATTATGTATTAGCCATCAGAATATACAAATCAAAACCATGAGATACCGCTTTATACCTACTCTAATCATAAAGACATTATATTAAGTGCTGGGAGGATATGCATATGGAGAAAGTGGAAAAATTATAACCCTCATATATTGCTGATGGGAAATGCAAAATGGTGTAGCTGCTGTGGAAAATGGTATAGTTGCTCTTTGGCCATTCCTCAGAAGTCGGAAATAGAATTACCATATGACCCAGCTATTCCACTCCTACGTATATACCCAAAGGAATTGAAAGCAAGAACTCGAACAGATACCTGTACACCCATGTTCATAGCTGCATTATTCATAATGCCAAAAGGTGAAAACAACCAAGTGTCTATCAGCTGATGAATGAATAACCAAAATGTGGTATATATCCTTACATTGGAAAATTATTCCGCAATAAATATGAAGTACTAATACATGCTACAACAGAGCTGAACCTTCAAAGTATTATGCTAAGTTAAAGAAGTCCGACACAAAGACCACGTAATATACGACTCCATTTATGTGAAATATCCAGAATAGGTAAATCTATATATATATACACAAAGTAATCAATGGTTGCATAGGGATGAGAAGGACTAGGGAGCTGGGGATGATGGTTAAGGGAGTACAGGATTTTTTCCCGTGGTGATAAAAACATTCTAAAATTGATTGTGGTGATGGCTGCACAACTCTGTTACTATACTAAAGACCACTGAATTGTACACTTTAAATAAGTGTATGGTATACGAACTATATCTCAATAAAGCTATAATTTTAAAAAATTATGAAAAGTTTTAAAAACTCCTTTGAAAACAGAATAATTATTGAAACCCTAATAACTGGGGCTCTCAGAGGAGCTGGTACTGCCCTTAGCCCAAGGGCACTGACTTGCAGATATCAGTTTGCTGCCACTGTACAAGAAATTTGCGTCAACTAGAGATAAGATCACTCACAAGCCACAAAAGTAGAAAATTTGAAAGGAAATAAGGTGTTTCTACATTCAGAGAGTAAATCAGGTATTTTATGATATGGTTCACCCTTCAGGTATAACAAGGTGCTTAAAAAGCAGCAAGGAGGAAGGAGAATCCTCTAAAAGGTCAAAAAAGAGAGCACTTGCAGTGGCATTTGGTCTTTTATCTTGAACCAAACGCAGGGCAGGACTGTCAAGTCCCATGGGCCTCTAGGTAACTAGGATGAAATCAAGTGCAAGTGGGACTAGTATCTGAAAGTGACCATAAAATTTAAAAGGCTTTTGACAACAAAATTCACACTGTGCACCAGAGCTGACATTTTAGTTACTGACTGATTAAATTTTGGAGGACTTAATACAAAACCAGCAAAGACTGAGATAAAAATGCTGAAAGCATAGTACTGCTTGATTGCTTAAAAGCATTAAGCAGTGAGTTCCTTTACCTAGCACTTAATTTTCATCCTGTTTACTCTGCTCTATGGATGGAGATGAGCTCCTAGTGTGAACAACTGAGATCATTTAAAGAGGTCCTCAGCATCCAAATAGAGCATGAAATCCACAAAGAGACAGGCAAAGATTTCCTTTAGAATTTGGTGAGCCAAGGGTAAGCCTCTGGGGCTCCTTACCATTCTGAACTCCTATGGTAATAGTAGCCCTCTATGGAGGCTGCCGACTTCTGGAAGCAGATGTAGTAGAACCCGGCAAAGGAAGCACCGCTGATGTCTTTGATCGTGTGGTCTGGGACCAGGAACTGTTCCTGCACACAGATGGGGAATGTCAGTAACAGTGTGCTTCAACCACCTCTGGAGCTTCCTTGTTAACCATCAGATGGTTCCAAGGTTCCACCATTACATGGTCAAGCCAAGACTTGCTAGGCGATGGCAAGCCTCTTATTTCAACCTGACTTATGAATAGCATTCATGTACCACTCGACTATTCTACATTCTAATGCAGCAAACCGTGTCTTGAGCTCACTAGAATCAGTAACTAAGACATGGTACCATTATCCACACATCTCATAAATGAATCGATCAATACCTACCTACCTACCTACCTACCTACCTACCTACCTACGTACCTACCTATTTATGTACTTACCTACATATCTTTCAGAGCTCGCAGACAGAACTACTTGGGGAAAAATAATTTTCTGCTCCACTCCAGGAACTGTCACTAAGTTCCTGATCACCTCTAGAACAGGGGGCCATTTCTGTTTGCCTGTGGATCATTCTGAAGGCAGCTCAATCACCAGTAGCCCAGTAATATCCCCTTAAACAACTCTACACTTCATTGAAAGCAGCCAGAATGATACTGTTCTTGATCAGGCCCCTTGAGAGGCAAGTTTGTTATCTCTGGTTGGAGCCAAGAGTTGAAAGACTGCGTCCTGGTACCTACTTTCCTAGGGAGACGAGGTTAGAGGCCCCAGGGCCCAAAGAGGTCTACTAAAAGCACACAGGTGAATCACCCTGAGAAATTCTTTGGCAACAAAACAACGCTATTGTTTTTTTGATCTTAGGACACTCTTCTTTTCTCTTTCCTCAACCTCTGAAATTATAGTTCTTAAAATTAATTTTAAAATTAGAACCTTATAAGATACTTTCTTTAACAGGTTTTTTAGTTGGCTTATTTCCCACTAGATGGCAAGCTCATGAGGGAAGGGCTCAGCACCTAGGAACTGTCTCCTAAATGAGTGATGATCCCCACTCTTCAAAAATATTATCTACACAAAGTAAAAGTTGGGAATGACTCCTCTAAATGATTTGTCTATATGAAAGCTGGCAAGATTTCAAGATAAAACAGCTTTTTCCTACAGATTGGGGAGTAGGGCTGGAGGTGGGTGTTTGTTCAAAAAGTGATTTAACAAAATTGCTTCGTGATTTTGCTATCCTGCGGCCATAACGTAATAACTATTGTGCTATCGAAGCAGGGAGCACAAATGACCTCTCAGCCCAAAGCCAATCCATGGAGTATGGCCAGATGGAGTTCTCTGAGGCGGGGTGAGTAGAAAACTCAAATCTCATTCCTGGTCCCTCGTGTCCTGAGCTGGAGAGAACCAGATGAGTAGGGGACTGCACTGAGCCATGGACAAGGATGTGGTAAGGGAACAGTCACTTAAATGACATTTAAGCCTGTGGCTGAGAATAGGGGATAGAAGATGACCAAGCTCAAAGAGAGTTTGGCTCTACCCTAAGTTCACAGAACACTAGGGCTGATTCTGTGGAGAGCCAAAGGGATTTTTGGGTGAGAGAAAGGAAAGGGAGAAGACGCAAACACAATGTCATGGGTGACCACCCTCAGGCATGAATTCATCTGCTAACACTAAACAGTTTAACCAGAAACAAACTGTCTGGGATGTTAGCAGTAAACCATTGTGCCCTGGAGCTGTGCCTATCTTTTATGAGTGTGTAAACACACTGACAAGAAGACAATTGTAATAGGCACTGGACAAAGGGAGCAGATGGGGGTGGTACACTACAGGAGCTGACACAGTTGGAGGGCCTGATGGGGTGGGGGGAGCGGAGCTTACCTTCCACCTCATGAAGACATAATCCCCATTCTTCAGCTCTTCATAATCAAAGTCATCTGAATTAAATGATTTTGCATACTGATAAAAAGCTAGAAACTTGCCCTAAAAGCGAAAAATAGAGTAAGAGAACTGGTCAGTGTTACCCTTTGGTGCCCAGGTGCAATCACCTCAAAGACACGACGGCTGGTGGCTGCGGCACCAGCAAGAGCAGCAAAGGCTGAGGATTAGCAAGAGAGCCTTTGGTTGCCCCCACTGAACTAAGACCTGGACTCTGGGACAGATGCCTGGACTCAACCTAGGCACCATGGGGTTTTGCCTGCCTAGTGAACATGGCCTGAGGAAAGGCCATAGAATGAGAACAAATGTAATTTAGGGGGCCTTTTTTCAGAATACCTTACCATAGACAGCCAAAGCAAGGATAAGTTAAAAGATTCCTATAAGTGAATCATCAGTAGCAAAAAGGCATACAGAACCAGACCTGTGAGCAGGTTCACTGACACAATATAGTGGTTTGGGGTCATCTAGGTAAGTAGAAACTGGAAATGGGGAGTACATGGATAAATTAAAACAAAACAAAACAAAACAAAAAAAACACACCAGAAGTAGGTTACAAAACTGTATCTTATGATACGTTTTTTGTTTTTTAAAAAAAGTATACTCAAGTGAGATTCAGGAAAAGGTTAATACCTGTTTTAGCTTTAGATGTTACCATTATAGATGATTTTTTCCCTTTTCCTTTCTGTTTTTTCTCAAATATTTTAAAATAAGCATGTATTAATTTTATAAGAAAACATCTTAAATAGAATATTAGGATATAGGATATGAAGCTGAAGTTCATTAAGTATATGGAATCTTGACTATATAGTACCACTGTAATTCCAACTTTAAATACCACTCAGGAAAATTTGAAGGCAAAATATGATGTCTCCGATTCTAGTTTACAATGGAAAAATGGTATCAGGTAAAGTTTATTAGACATTACAAATCCCTGACAAAGGAACGATATAGACCTCCAGAAGTCTCATGAGGGAATCGGGGAGTCCTCCGTGGGTTGGGAAAGTTATGAGAAATGCTGAGTACTGCAACAGAAACTAGAACTGCTGGGTGAGGAAATAGTCCGCAAGCCCAGCTTCTTATCTTACAATGCCCAGCATGTCAGTGCCAAGGGTGGCCTTCTTTATCCCTTTTTCACTCAAAATATTTCAGACGAGATCAGGTGTGTTCAGGGTGGATGGCCACAGACAACTCGAAATATTTCAATCCACCCTAACAAAGGTTGGAGTTCCAGGTATTTTCCAGTGTTCTAATGAAAGTTAATGGGAAAATAAGAGATGCTTTGCAGATGTTTAATTTTTAGCCAACCTAGCCTAAAAAGGCCCCTGAAATTACATTACATTACTGGGATTTCACTGAGCCTCAAAGACCTTGCTTTTTGCAGGACCAGTTTGAGATAGAAAACTAAGTTGAATGGGAAGCAGGCTGAGTTACAAGGAAGAAAGAACTTTCTTCTCACTGGGGCTGTACAGGGAGAAAGGAGCCATCTCATGAGGTGGTGAGCCATAGAGAAAGAACCGGCATTGGGCAGGTGGGACCAGATGGCACCGAGGAGCCCTCCAACGCTGCTTTCTGGCACTGGCACCCTCAGCCACCACTAGGGCTCTTCCAACCTTCTGGACACTGAAACATACTGAAACCTTGTTCATTCTCTTTTATTATAGAGACATGGATGACTGTCTAACTTTTAGTGTCTCGTTGCTACAACAGTCAAAACAACTAACTTTCAAAAAATGTTCTAAAAAGCTCAAGTTTAAATTTAAATTTAATTGAAACTCAGTATTTGATAGATGTTCCTTTCTTAACTCAAGAGGAAAACATTAATAAGAAAAGCAGCTAATCTACAGTAAAGTTAACTTAGATTGGGTTAACTGCAGTAGGGGTCCTCTCTAAGAACTGCTGAGCCAGATTCAGGAGAGTGTAAACAGCCAGGTCTGAGTGGCCATGGGAAGAATGAGGAATTCTAGAATCCTCATTACTGACACAACAGTCATTTCTGGTTGGCTTAGAGGGTGAGCACACTGGATTTTCTCATTTTTAAACCAAAATTAATCACTGCCATGGTCGACTAAGCCAAAGGCTATTATGATAGGTTGAGAAATTGATTTTTGAAGACACAAGACTTATGAAAAGACTCGAGGACAATAACTCTAAGTTGCTTCGAAGTGTTCTCTCCTGGTGAATGAGAACATGCTCCACACCTGACAGTTAGAGGCGGGAGGGGGCTGAGGTTTTCCGCAGCATCCTGCCGGCACTTAATAAGACTGCGCTTTGTCTATCGGGAGCTAGGATGAGAAGAAGCCTCCTGTGGTTTTGCCAACAGGAGGGATAGGTTTCCAGGAACTGCATCCCCATTTCACATCCTAAAGTCAGAGGCCATTATTATGTTTCACAGCGTTCCCTCAAGTATAGCAGATTAGAAACAGGAGATAGACAAACAGAAAGGACAGGGAGATGGTGATAAGACCCTTAGAGCCAAGTTCCTCAGCTCCCCAGCAGTCCCTGGCGGCCTATAGCAATCAAAGATTTACTCACCCAGTGTTTCCGATCAACATCTTCATCTGCATCCCACTTTCGAGTTAAGAAAGGGTGTTTCTTGCTGATTATTTCTCCTTCAAAGAAAGTTGTAAGGGTTGGATACTCCTATGGTAAAAAACCCAGATGTCAAAACAAGATGTTGAACAGTTTTAATCTTTTTTTTTTCATGGCAAAATATTTAATGTCTGTAGGTGTGCCTCACCGCCCCCCTCCCTGGCCCCAATTCCTGTTATGATTTGATAGTCTCTCCAAACTGCAGTTCCAGAGAAAAGAGGGGCACTTTTCCTCAGCAGGATTTGAAAACCATTAAGGCCCTAGTTCTCTTGATATGATTGCAGGTGAGGTCTTTCCACAGCATGCCTCAGGCCTCTCTGGTCAAGGAAAAAAAACCCACTCTATAGGACTCCTGATGTCTTCTGTTCTTCTGCAGCCTGGCTCTGAGAGCTGGAAATAGTGGTAGGCTTGGACACTGCAGAGGTAACCCCCACACACAGTGAGAACCATGAAGGTGGAGAAGGTCTTGTAGCCAATGGCAGCTAGTTGCTTGGCAGGTGGCAGGTTGTCCCCTGGAAGTTGCACCTCCCTCCCATCCAACTAAGGCCTTTGCAGGCAGTATCTCACCACCATAGTCTGTGCAACTTCCTAGCGCAGCTGGGACCTGGCTCGTGAGGGTAGAGGCCCAAGAACAACCCTAGATGCTGAGGCACTGTTGGTGAGGATAGCCACTGTTTCCAGGAATTTTAACCTTCTACAAAGGAAAAATCAACCTTGTTTAGCTTCTTCCCAGTACTTTGAAAAAATGATCACACTGCTAATCAACAATCTGAACCAGAGTTAGGCCCAGCAATTTACCCATGGCTATAGAGAGAACCTGAATTGAAGGTGCCCAAAGAGTGTGTGTTGGGGGGGGTCTCTTGGACTTCGGAGACTTTGTCAGAAGCAGAGAACCCTTCTCTGATTTCACTTGTTATGTGTTGATCACTCAGAAAAGAATTTGGACAATTCCCACAAGTAATTATAAATATTCCAGCATATAAAGCAGATGATAACTAAGTAGATTATACTTCCCAAGGAAAACACCCAAAGAGGCTCCAAAATCAGAGCCTTCACAGAGTAGTCTCCCTTAAGCCATGGCTTGGCCCACTGGTTCTCACACTGGCTCAATGGTTTGTCCCTTTGGTGGCAATTCTTCAAGTGAATTTTTTTGTAGAATACCTTGATATACTAGATATATTTAATTCTATCATATGAACAAAGATGATTTAAACTAGGAAAATATACGTAAATCACGACCACAAATATATGTAAATCATAATCATAAAAAATATTGCTGGAAAAAATAAGTAAGCTGTCATCCTGAGTGTTTAGAATTCACCTGTTAATTTGCTATTTGTTCATCTTGCTAATGAGAAGGCACCAAATTAACAAAAGAAAAATTAACACTATAAAAACCCTACCAACCAACCAACCCCTCAGCCCAGCCTGCCAAGCCCCTGGTTTCTAAGGAGCATGGTAATGATGGCAGTGCCTGGTAAACCGTGGATTACGGTCCTAATGTTCCTGGGACCACGGAGGCCCCACTTTCTTTTTTGGACCCTATGTAAGCCCCTCTTGCTCTGCATCAAACACCTACACATGTTTAAAATAAATCCCTTCCAATGGCTTTGACTTTTCTCCCTGCCATGTGGCTCGGAGAAATGCCACTATACAGGCTCAGCGGCTGTCAGGAATCAGCATCGCCATCACCACTGCAGTAACTGAAGGGGCCTGCTTCACGATATACCACTAGGCATTCTGTTTTCTCAACAGTAAACTTGCAAATGTTATAAATTTAACATTCCCAAAACCACAATCCCTTTACCCCAGCACTGTTCCTGGGCTCTTCATATCAATATTTATACAGAATGAAGAAATGAAAGGACATTTTCTAAATGGAAATCTGATTTTAAAGGTGTAAATTACTAATCCGTTTTAGGGAAGCCTACTAAGAAAAAAAGTTCTATATAAATTAGCACCTGACTTCAGATTTTAAATTGAAATATTGATTTTTCTGAGTTTCAAACTTTAATATTTTTTCAAAACTTCCATAAAAGAGAGAGAAGAAAATGATAAAGTGATCCTATTATATAATACAAAGAAAACACTTATGGTTCAAATCACTAGTTTTCCTAATGAATGGTTTGTACAGACTTTTCTATAAAAACATTTTAGGTGGCACATCAGGGTGACTACAAAGTACCCCCAAACTCAGAGAAATAAAATATGTAATGAATGAAAGTCAAATACAGATATCACCAAAAAGACGAAATCTCTCATAGTGCAGGACAGAAGAAATTCAAGCACCTGACTACAGCCAGATTGGTGGTAATTCACAGAGCCAAAGAAAAATCTATTATCAGGAGGAAGGATATCAAGAAAATGAGTCAGAGAGAGAGGCATAACCAGCATCCCCCCAACCTCTCTAAGCAGGTGTGGGCTTCTTATGATGGACTGGCTGTTGCCAGGTACTTAAATTGTCCACCCCACTTGTCCACCTCACTGATTCTAGGCTCACCAAAAACTGTCAGGGGATGGGTATGGCTTTCCATGTAGACCTGTCTTCTGGGGGATCAATATTCAATTGGCAATAAGTCAAAGAGAACTTCTAGAACCTGCATGTAACTTGATTTGTAAATGTGTAAACTAAGCACTCTGTTTACACATCGGTCTGAGTTTAGAGTGACCTGTCTCCCCAGTTTCATGAAAATGTAGCACAATCTTAGCAGGATTTTCCAAACCCTTCTAAACTATCGAATGAGTGAAGAGCCTGACGTGACTTCCCCAAACCTGGGCTCCTCGCAGGCCCTGTGCCAGTTGCCAGCCCAGAAGGGTCCCTCTCCTTCTGGGAGGCTGGCTCAGAATTGCAATGAGAATGGTATTTGACACCCATTCTTCATAATTCTGGGATTTCATTTCCAGAAGGCACACAAATCTTAAAGCTGTGCTTGTTCGTGAATGTGAGGTAGCTAAGAGGCAAATTATCTCCAATTGAGTAGTTAATTCCATATTGTAAACATGAGAAAGACTATAACTAAAACCCAAACTATTTACATAGTTTTATGAAAATAAATTATGTATTTTAGATTTTAACAGCTATCAATGGAAAAGCAAACAAAATGGATAATTGCATTTTATAATATAGGTATAAAAACATTCAAAGAATAATCACTCTTTTCTGCATTTTACTAATTACCTACAGTGACCATGTATCAGATATAATTTAAAAAGTTATTTATCAGTTGCACAATTCTGTGCCTATACTAAAAGCCAATGAATTATATATTTTAAATGGGTAAATTATATGGTATGTGAACTATATCTCAGTAAAGTTACTAAAAAACCTTATTAAAAAAGATAAATTCAAAGAATCCTGAAGTTGAGCAGGACTCAGGAAACACATCAGCCTTTCTCTAACTAAATGCCACTTCAGCACCATAACTGAGTCCACCACTTGACCTGGAGAAAGCCACTCTGGGGAGGCTGTGTGCTCATGAGGGCACTCCGGAAGGACTTGCCAGGAGGGTGGTCTCTGAGTTCTGGCCACAAGCCTAAGTCCAATGAAGGGCTATGCCAGCGCCCCCTCCTCAAGGGAGCCTGGCTGTTTGTGACTCAGAGGGGCTTCCCTTCATCAGGGTTACTTGCTCCTGATGGAAAGTTCCTAGCATTTCTGTATACTGTTTTGGAATTTTTAATGCTACTTAACATTTCTGTGTAGCTTCCTATAACCAAAGTGACTGATTTTAGAATCAGCATTAAACATTCCATATTACAAATTTTCTTGGTTTCCCTATGAAGTTAAATGTTTATGTTCTGCATTCAATTAATAAATACATTTGACTGCCTAAGAGTTGAATATATTCTATTTACTATATGTTTTCTACTATCACAAATTTAAAGGTTAGCATCCTTCATTTTGCTATAATTTCCTATCCTTGCTTGACTAAGTTTCCAGAGGTGATGAAGAGATTACTTTTTCATCTTGACAACAAACTTCATAAAAAATTCTCAACCAAAATTCTAATAGAGAGGTAGAAGAACCATATGGAATCAAGGAGGCAGAAACAACTGTTTCCAGACTGAGGATAATCAGTGCCTTGTTTGTATCCCATATTGTATCACATTTCAGTCTACCACTTACTCTTACATTGTTTCCTCCCTGCTAGGACAAGCCCCTTAAGTAGAAAGAGCAGGTATTTTAAATTGTCATTATATAGATGAGGAAATTGAAAGGAAATTAAAGGTCATGGAACCAGTAAAGGACAGAATGAGAAAGTCACCCAGTTCCTTTCCATGGCTCCATGGACCATTTGCAAACACTGCTAGGCCATCAAGACAGTGAGAACCAATCAGGTCAATGGGACACTATAGCTAGGTCAAGTCCAGGCCCTCACTGTGGAGTTAAGCAGCCAGTTCAGTCATTTCCTTCCTCTTCCTGTTTACTCACTAGTGGGAAAAGAATGCTCTTTCTTGCTTTCTATATTCCCAGGAGTTCTGAGGTTTAAAAAGTTGGTTCAAAGGAAAACACTCTACGTTTACACAGCAGCTACTTCTGTTAGAAACTAGACGATCATTTTTCATTGTTCCAATGAACTACTGGGTTGAGAGAACTTCAAAGACCTCGGTTCTCGAAGGATTGAGGCTTATCTCAATTCTTATGTTATACTTATGATGAAGGTGTTATACTTATTGTTTACTTATGATGAGGGTGATAGCCATATTCTTACTATATATTTTTTTTCTCAAAAAGGATTAAAAATGAAATCGATAGTATTGGTCACATTTAAAGATTTGTGAATCTGTATACTTTCCAACAGGACACATCAAAACTGCATGCTTTATGTTCACCATATATTAACAACACATAAAAAGAGGGCACTTTAATCAAGCCTCAAAAAGTCAAAACTATCTGCCCTTCACAATCTAAGACTGCTGAGTATGCCGTCCTCTTTTCAGTTCTAGTTCATTTAAATGAGTGCTTACCTCAGTAAGGCCTTTAATTTTCAGGTACCCACAAAGGTAAGAGTTCCCCGTGTCCACATGCTGGAAAGAAAGGACAAACAGCCTCATTACAAATGGAGGAACCACCAGGAGACAAGCTGAAGGTACTCTGGAAATCCACGTGTCCAGTGGTCAGAGGCACCTTTGAGACCAGCTGGGTTAAGGGAGGCCTGGAAGCCAGTGCATGCCCAGCACAGCCTAGGGATCAATGGCCTTTGAGACATTTCTGAGTCTTCACCATCCACATGCCTGTTCAGACGAAGCAAACTGATCTCAGGATCCTCTCGGCTTCCTTCAGCTGAATATCTTCAGACCCAAGTCTCTTTCTGGCCTATTTCTATCTCCATACTGTTCAGTCACTTAGTGTAAATACAGGGGAGGAGTGGAAGTAGTTGAGTACCCAAATCTGATAAATTCCCCAAAACTTTTCTAGTTTCTTAAAATGAGACCTCACTTAACATTAAAGTCTCAGTGTGATACAGCACCATCGTACTTTGTTTCACTTTAATTCCAGGGGTTCACTTTGTAAATAAATCAAATTGTCATGAAATCTGAAAATCTACCTGTTCGGGATGAACCTGTTTACTTATGATATGGCTATCACCCTCATCGTAAGCAAGTCCACTCCTCCCCTGTATTTACACTAAGCACCATCCTGAATTATTTCTCTATAAACTAGGCAGAATATTCAGAAAAGGAAACTTTCGAAGACTTATGTGGTATAAATTTCAGTTATAAACTGAAATGCCAACCCCAAATCAGAATACATTGTGAATGCCTCCTTTGCCCATTTCATGTACAATGCTTGTATTTCTTGATGAAAAGAGGAGCCTAAAATAAACAGGGGTAACAGGAGTAGCTTTTGAGGTTTAGCAGCCACCAATTACTGGTTGCTGAGACATTGCCGACTACCTACCGAACAACCAATTTCCTACTTTTTCATGCTGGCAGGGCCCAGATCTTGTTCTGGCACCTACCCTGGCTCCACAAGACCTGGTCAACCCTGATGGATCCAAGGCAAACATGTGCCCCTGTCTCTTTGCGAGTTATTGGTTTAGGGGTGAGCAACCTAGATATGTGTACAAGTCTCCCAGGAAAGATTCTGGCCTATGAAGAAGCTCTTTTTCTTTCTCTGGTGGCAGCATTGTCTGCATACAGTGCCCAGTCCTGTGGCAGTCATCTAGAGATCATGAGGAGAAACAGGCTGGGAAAATGCCAAGGATGGCAGCACAAAAAGATGAAAAGAAATGAGCCCCTGAATGAGCCAATCTGGAAGAAGCCCCCACTAAACTTCTCACAAAGCGAGATAATGGGTTCACTTATTCTTTAAGCTATTTTAAAATAAGTATAGTTACTTGCAGCTGAACACATAATAACTAGTGGATTTTATCCCAATATATACAGGTTCATCCCGAACAGGTAGATTTTCAGATTTCATGACAATTTGATTTATTTACAAAGTGAACCCCTGGAATTAAAGTGAAACAAAGTACGATGGTGCTGTATCACACTGAGACTTTAATGTTAAGTGAGGTCTCATTTTAAGAAACTAGAAAAGTTTTGGGGAATTTATCAGATTTGGGTACTCAACTACTTCCAAGTACACCATAAATTAAATAATAAGGCAATCTTCAAAAACTGTAATGAGCTCACTCAGCCAGATGAGGTCAGCACCAAAGCAAATGAGTTTCAATGAAGCTAAAATGCTCTCACAGTTTGACGCTATTGACAAAGGTATTCCATCTGAAAACTGCCAAAGCATTTTAAATATCTTCATCTGCTGACGTTGGCACTGAACATTATGTAAAGCGGCTGATCAGCACTAACAAGGTTCAGCAAAGAACTTTTATTAAAAGATACATAACCCTAATCTGAGGCCTTAAATTTCATGTATGCAGTCCTCACTGAATTCAATATAGTTTGGGGTTTCACAGATGCCGGAAAGGGTATCAGGTGGCAAGGATACTTGCTAATAAGATTAAAATTTGAACTGTAAATTGGCTAACATTCTGCATGGATTATCACATGCTCAAGAATCAAAATTTCAGTTTGGCCTCCATTCAACCATGTGTCTCTCTCCCATTCTGCCCAAATTGATCTTGATGACTGTTGGTGAACTCAAATACACCACAATGCAGAGAGCATTAACTATACAACAGGCTAGCATCTCAATGAGAATAACAAGGCAAATGTTTAGTAAGGTCTCACAGCACAGCTGTGTCCAACAGCTGCTCTTTTTACTATTCCTTTCACAGTGACCCTGACTCTCACTTTACTCTTGGCTTCTTGAATGGCAGAGGAGAAATAGAATAGTCACAGTAATAAACAACAACAACAACAAACCCAGTCAAAATCTCACAAAGTTTGAAGAACTTTTTAAACTGGAATCTCAAAAAAGAAAGTGCTCCAAAGAGCACACAAAGAGATGTGCAACATCATTAGTCACTAGGGAAATTCAAAACCACAATGAGATACCACTTCACACCCACCAGCACGGCCACAAATAAAAAAGATGGACAATTGCAAGTAATAACAAGGATGTAGAGAAACTGGAACACTCATATGCTGATGGTGGAAATGTAAAATGGCACAGGCATTTAGGATATCTGTCTGGCAGTTCTTCAAAATGTTAAACATAGAGTTACCATGTAACCTAGCAATTCTACTCCTAGGTATCTATCCAAGAGAAATGAAGACATGTCCAACACAAAAACTTGTACATGAATGTTCACTGCAGCATTATTCATAACAGCCAAAAAGTGGAAACAATCCAAATGTCTATCAACTGATCAATGGATAAATAGAATGCTATATATCCATACAATGGACTATTATGCAACAATAAAAAGGAATGAAGCAATGACACATGCTATGACATGGGTGAACACTGAAAACATTGTAGTCAATGAAAGAAACTAGATACAAAAAGTAACATATAAGATTCCACTTACATGAAATGTCCAGAATAAGCAAATCTTAGGAAAAAAATCAGTAGTTGCCTAGGGTTGGAGGAGGGTTACAGCTAAAGGGGTATGTGGTCTATTTTCAGGGTGATGAAAATTAGATTGCAGTGACGGTTTAATAACTCTGTTAACATACCCAAAACTATTGAATTGTATACCTTAGGTGGATGAATTCTATGGTATGTGAACTATATCTCAAATTTTACCTCAATAAAGCTGTTGTGAAAAAAAGAAAGCAGGAAAGAGGAAGAGTTATAAAAGGCAGCAGTATTGGAAGAAGGCTGAGTCCAAAAAACTAGTCCTGGCTGAAAAACCAGATGATGGGGCAATTCACATGCCAATGACTCTCAATGATGGGCCACCAACCAGTCCAGATGTAGGGCAGCATTCCTGGGCATGACCACTGTCCCCATTGTCACAAATCCTACTCAAGTAGCTTCCAGCCATTGGCCAGGTTTCTGCTCTGGGCCTGAGACTTATCAGTTGTGTACCAACTCAATCAGTGCTTCCACTGGTTCACAAAGAAACTGGAACCTGACAGAAATTCAGAAACAACACACTATTGACAAAAGAGCAGTTGCCGCAGTAACCAAAGCAGACTTCTCTTTGACACTTAACTACCCTGCCAGTGGTTCCCTATCATATCAGAAACCATCAAATTAAACAATAGGCACAAATTCAAGATCATTCCAAACATGGCCCACACCAGGGTCTCACTTCCAGAATTTTATGATTAGTTGCAAAAAACAAAACAAAAAAACTTGTAACTTCATACTAAATTCTCATTTTAGGCAAAAGAAGGGGGATTACCACATGAAGCACATAATTATGAAGACTGAAATACTTCAGCCACGATAGTTTTTCAATTACAATAAATATCATGGATCATGATAGAAATTTAAGTTTATAGTCCAAAGATACAATTACAGGAAGATGCAGCTTTCCTAATCAAAAATCATTTATTCCCACAAAACAGTAAGAAAAAAGAGGCTGATGAATGCTCTAGTTAGCAAAAAGAAAATGTATTCCCATTGTCTTTTGGGTGGGAAACCTACTTTCTTGGAATACTGAAAATTTAAAAGGGTAAAGGGCGAGAATACGGAAAAGACACATCCTACATTCTGTTTTCACACATGGCAGCACTGAGATAACACATCTCAAAGCTTCTGTAAGGCCTTCCAATGGGACAGATGTTTGGAGGGGCTTTTGGGAACAGCCTAGTAGGTGGGGTGTCAGGCTAAGGACAAAGGGGCAAAGGGAGGGGGAAAGTGGGTCCTGAGGTAGCTACAGAGGAGGAATGTTTTTGTAGAGAAGGGAGAGAAAAAGGAGTATTAACCACTGCCATCTCCTTTGGCTGGGAAAAAAACTGTCAATTGCATTACTATTTGTATGAGAGGGGTGAGGTGTAAGAAAAGGCCAGGGCAGGTGAAGCTGTAGTTCCAAAGTTATCAGGGGCTGACAGCAGGTACTCAGAAATCCAGGTAAAATGGGGGGAGGTGGAAAGACATGGGAAGGAAATATCTGAGTGAGAAATAAAACTAGATGAGTTAGGTTTCCCAGTACATGACTATCAGAGACCGGGAGGAAGCCTTAGCTCTGCAGATAAAAATTAAGAAACTGGAAAAAGGGTCCCTTGGAGATAGGAAGGAAGAAGACAAAGGTATGGGGTGGGAATGTCTGGGCCGGAGAGACTGGAAGCCTACTGGAAGTGGCCAGAGAACGGGGTAGGAGTATTAGAAGCCTGGGGCAAGAGGCCTGGTGGTGGTGCAGCTGTGAGGAGCTGGGTGTAGAGATCAAAGAGAGACTGGGACGGTGGGGGCGGGGGCACAGGAGGCAAGAGCCTAACAGACTGTGAGGCCCACCTAGCAGCACCCAGGATGTGTGCCTGGTCTTGGAGTTGGTGGGGGTCAGAGACCAGGAATCAGTTGTGGGCTGGGGACTCTCAGGCTGAAGGGGCTAATGGAGGGAGGGTGCTCCCAGGTCCGAGGGGGCTGATTAAGTTCTTTCAAAGAGGAAACCCTAAGGAGAGGAGGAGGACCACAGGGTCTGAGGATTCCTGGGACTGAGGAAATTAGGAAAAGGAGGCATGTCTCAGGTCTGGGAGAATTTGACATGGGACCCACCATGCGGAGGGTCCCGAGAAGGAGAAACCAAAGGAGAGTTCTTCGGGGTCAGAGAGGGACAAGAGGGAGGGCTGATCTTGGGTCGACAGGTCATGGAAAAGACCTGGGTTTGAGGGTGGCCAGTCGTGGGGGGCTTCCAGATCCCAGGCAGGCTTCAAGTCTGGCAGAGTGTTCAGGTACTGCCAGTAGCTGCTCACGACAGGATCCGCATGTGAGAGGGCAGGTCAGGGTTGGGGATCAGAGTGTGAGACACCAGCTGGGCAGGTCCCGGGGGTGAAGTGCCGGGTGCTGGAGGCCCGGTGGCAAGGGCCTGTCCCGCGGCTGCGGGCTCGAGGAGCCGGGGACAGGCACGGCCCGTGAGCGCCGCGAGGAGGCCCTCGGGCCCCGGCCCGGCGCGGCCGGGCGCTCACCTGCAGCACCACCTCTACGTCGTACGAGTTCCCTTTGCTCTTCTGGTGGCCGCGGAACTTGGAGCCGCTGTAGAGCAGGCTGGTGGCCACGCCGGGCTGCTGGGTGTTGATGGGCGGTGGCGGGATGAGCGAGGCCGCGGAGGCGGCCGAGGCACCGGCCGGCGGGGGACACTCGGCAAACCAGAACTCAGATTACTTGAGGGGTTTAATGGATGGCAGTCTCCATCTGAAGGTGAATAGATATGAAGGAACTCCCCTAAGACTGGAAGGAAAATGGAACCTCTAGGAAATGGGAATTGAGATGGATGGGACCACCCACCCGCTGCCTGCGGACCTAGCGTTCCGGCCGCCACCGGGACCCCGGGACCTGAGAGCAGGGCCTCCCCGTCCTGAGCTGAGTCCCCCTCCCCACTTGCCCTCGCACACACTCACACACACACGCGCGCACACACACACATACACACACGCGCACACACACATACACACACACAGCACCGCTTCCGATTGGCCCGGGCGCTCCAGAGGGGCGGGAGCAGGCTCACGCGGCTCTTCCACCCATTGGCTAGCGGAGAAAACACGTGGCGGGTTGCGCGAGGCACCCTCTGGGACTTGTAGTCTTCCCGAAGCGCGACATAAAAGGGGCGGGACGAAGTGCGTTGTGATGCTGATTGACTGGGGGCGTGTGCAGGAGGCACGCCGTTACCCGGCGCGCCTTTGGCGTCATGCGGAAGATGGCGGCGTCCAGGGGAGTTTGAGGGCTCTGGGGAGGCAGTGAGAGTTTTCCGTACAGTCGGAGTGGGCAGTTTGGGGATTCCTTTGCTCTGTGTTTCCTGCTCTAAGATTTCGCACCGGTGGTCTTCCCACCCCTTGAAACGCAATGTGGAGAAGCTACCTCCGCCTGCGGGACGGCGGACGCCGTCTCCTGAATCGGCCCCCCGGTGGCCCCACGGTCTTCGTGGGGCTGGGGTCAAACACCCCATCCCCATCCCGGGCCTACGCTCCCCCGGCAGGTGAGGGAGGCAAGGGCACACCCCCTTTGGCCAGGGACCGAGGCAGGCTAAGGTGGGCTGAGGGGTCCGGCCTTGCCGGGTGGGGTAACCGAGTTAGGGATCAGGCTCATCGAGGTATGTAGTCTTGGGAAAGAGCAGCTCAGACTAGGGCAGGGACAACCCGAGGGCACACATCGCGTCACGGCACTAGACAGTAATTGACCTTTGGCGTGTGCGGCGTTTCTCAGAGTTTCTGGCTTTTTAATAAGGAAAGCAGGTATCATCCTTGTTTTTAGACAGGGGAATTCAGGTTCTGGAACAGGACTACAAGGTCAGAGTAGATTCTGATAGGTTAGTGGAGGTCAAAGGTCCGCCTGTCTGACCTGTGTCCTAGGAGCCCGTACAGTAGGGGTCTAGAACCCAGGAATTCAGTCGGCCACTTTCTCTGTAGGTTTCCTGGCCCTACTTCCTACTGCCCTACCACAACCACTGCCACGTCTACTAAGGAGTTAATTGATACCTCGTTTCTTCTTCCTCCACTTCTGACTCTGATGAGGCCTGGAAGGTTGACTCTTTCATTACTCCTGTGGAGAGATTTTAGGCTAAGAGTGGGAGTGACTGAAATGAGTGAAGAGTAGTAATATTCTCTTTCCATTAAATTAGTTTTTCTGTGCTGAGGGCAGAAAGCACAGTTGTCTGCAAAACAGACAGGTGTGGTCCACACCTGGGTGATGTTCATTGTCAATTGCAAAAGATTGTATCCTGGTTAAACAGTAGTTTCTAATGCCTTGTGATAAGAGATATACAAAGAAACTTTGAGACCACAAAGAAGCACCTACTTCCATCTTGGGGTGTTCAGGGCCTAAAAGGGTCTTGAGTTTTTAAAAGAAGGCATTTAAGTTGAAAGTTGATTGATGAGTAGGAGTTTGATATAGAGGAGGAAGAAGAGTGTTGGGCAGCTAGAACACGTCTTTAGGAGATACTGGGCTGTAAGGGATCTTGCCGTTCCTGAGTTGCATCATTTTATAATTAATGGTAATCTAGTAAGCGAAATGTTTTCTTGAGTTCTGTGAATTGTTCTAGCAAATTAATCAAACCTGTTAGGCATCATTGGAACCTCCAATTTGGTTGGGTTGGTCAGAAGCTCAGGTGACAACCGGAACTTAAACTGGAGTCTGAAGGGGTAGGGGGCAGTCTTGTAGGACTGAGCCCTTAACACGTGAGATCCGATGCTAACTCCAGGTGCGTAGTGTTGACACTTAATTGAATTGTAGGGTACCCAGCTAGTGTTACAGAGTTGACTGGTGGGAAAATACACATTTGGAGCACCGAGTGTCTGTGTGAGTCTGTAAAGGAAAATGAGAAGTTGTTTTTTTTTTTTCTTTACAACATCCTGGGGAAGCACAGTACAAGCAAAGGCGACACATTTAGGCGTTCACATAAGCTGGTGAAAGCAGAGGGTTAATTTAGGTTAGTAGATGCCACTTCCCATTATGGTGGCATGTCATCTGCCATATCTTTTTCCTTTCTACGGCAAACAATAGTTTTAGGCTATTGAAAGTACTCGGCACATGGTAGGTAATCAACTGTGAAAGAAGATATGAATGAATGAGAGAATGAAGCACAGTGGGAGAAAGGTATGTGAATCAAGCCTCTGAATGCTCTACAAACATTTCTCGTTTTGAGATTCTGAGAGTATTGAGAGTAGTGGAAGGTTAAATCTAAGTGGGGCCTTCGATTGGCAGGTGGATTGAACTTGGGGGTTAGGAAAGGGTCACTGGGTTGTTGGAGGAGATATTGTAGCAAGGAGACCTGTATGAGGCTGTTTAGTGGTCCTGCTCTGTACCAGCTGCTTGGAGGGGAGGTCTTCTGGAAAGGCAGCATATTTGGCTAACTGTAAACACCCAGTAAAGTCAAGGTTAGAAGTCTTGTCTACTCTGTTTACAAATTATCACCTGAACAAATCATTTAGCTTCTCAGAGTCTACCACTTCAGAGGTGTCACCTGCCCTGTCTTCCTCATAGAGTAGTTATGGTGGATTGAGGGAGATTCTGTAGATAAGGTGGCCATTCTGCCACCTGTTTTTATAAGTAAAGTTTTATTGACACACAGCCACATTCATTTACATATTACATAGGGCTGCTTTCAATACAGGAGCAGAGTTGACTGGTTGCAACAGGGATGGAATGGCCCACAAAGCCTAAATTGTTTATTGTTTGGCCCTTACTGAAAAAAAAAAAATCGCCAGCCCCTGCTTTAGATGCTGGCGCAATTTGGGAAAAATGTGTTTAGTCATTTAGCTCATTTACATTAATTGCTATGACAGATACATTTGTCCTGAAGAATTTTTTAACAGATTTATTGAGATACATAACAATTCACTCATTTAAAGTGTACAATTAAATGGTTTTTAGTATATTCACAGAATTATACAACTGTCACCACAATCAATTCTAGAATATTTTTGTTGTCCCCAAAATGTGCCCTTTAGCTGTCACCCTCCCTTTGTCCCTTCCATCCCTCCAGCTCTAAGCAACCACTACTTTACTTTCTGTCTCTACAGGTGATTTCCCTATTTTGGACACTTTATGTAAATGGAATGTGGTTTTTTTTTGTTTTTGTTTTCAAGTAGAGTGTTTTCACGGTTTATGTAAGTCGTAGCATGTTATCAGGACTCTTTTTTTATTGCTGAATAATATTCCATCTTATTTATCCATTCATCTGTTGATGAACATTTGGGTTATTTTCATCTTTTGACTATTCTGCATAATGCTGCTATAAACATTTGTATACAAGTTTTTATGTGGGCATATGTTTTCAATTGTTATGTATCTAAGAGTAGAATTTCTGGGTGAAATAGTAACCGTTTAACCTTTTGAGGAACTGCCACACTGCTTTCCAAGGTGGCCATTTTACATTTCCACCAGCAGTGTACAAAGGTCTCAATTTCTCCATATCCTCACCAACACTTGTTATTATTTGATTAGAGCGATCCTCGTGAATGTGAGGTAGTTTTGATTTGTATTTCCTTGATGATAAATAATGTTGAGCATGTTTTTATGTGCTTATTGGATATTTGTACATTTTTTTTGGAGAAATGTCTATTCAGATCCTTTGACCATTTTTAATTGGGTAACTTGTCTTTTTATTATTGAGTTGTTCTTTATATAGTTGGCCTGAAGAATTTTGATACCAGAAACAGTTGATTGGAGCTGCCTGAGGATTATGGTTGAAGAGATGCCCGGAGAGAGGATTTCAGCTTTAAGGCTTAAGGCCCACCAGATGGCACTGTTTAAAAAGATAACGGTGTTAGGCAGCTCTGAGAAGGCACTGCCTCTATTCTTGGTGCACAGTGGGAGTTGTAGTTCAGAGGCTCTGAGTCTTTACAAAGCAAAGGCCAGCCCGGAAATTGAAGCTGAAAGAAAGATCATTCACTGGTCCATGAAGCCTGGGACAGGTTGAGCAGTATAGGGGAAAGTGACACAGAAAACAGCCTGTTTTTTTTATATGAATTGAAGCAACCTCACAGGAAAAGGGACACAATAGACATTAATTTCCAATTCAGCACTCTTCACATGAGTAGGCTTTTTTAAGTTGTCTTTACTTAACAGCCTGTTTTCTTGTGGCTAGCTTTTTACTTTCAACACTTTTTTTACATACCCATTTCCTTTTACCTACATAGTCCACAAAATTGTCTCTTCAAAGTCATTGAGTATGTTTTTGCCACAGAAACAGATGTTCTGTAAGGGGAGTGATTCATACTCTACACAGACCTAAGTTCCATATGATCCTACAAGACTAGACTATTTCTTTTGTCTTTAAAGATGATGTTCCTGTTGCTGTCAGCTAGCCCTGTATTCATGGAGAATATGGAAGTTTGACAGACTCCTAGTGGCCTCATGATTTGACTCATGTGACCCAAGACCTTTGAGGGCCCAGGTGAAGAACTCTCGTCTTTTGACATTGTTGGGGATTCTGGCTCCCACCAAATGAATTTTCCAGATCACGTTTACATATGCAAACCCCTTACCTGGCTCTCTCTGTCCTCCTTACTGTGATCTGTCTGGCCTTCTCTCCCCAGATCTGGTCCCCACTGCCCTCTCTGGGCATCTCCAACTTTTCTCTGCCAGATAGCTATAGTCTTGTCCTGACCATTTTTCTAGTTCAACAAAACCCTGTTCTCATGAGGCTCTGGACCTTTATGTAAGCTGCTGCTTTTGTTGGAAACTCTTTCACACATACCCTCTCCAAAAACAAATCCATCAATGCAGAATGGCTAATTCCTTCTGCTTTAGGTCTCAGATGGAATCTGACTCCTGGGAGCTCTTCCTTTAGCCCATGAGGAGATTAGGCTTCTCCAGCATGTATTTCAGTGTCCCTTGTACTTTGGCCATCATGGTCACTCTATCATTTGGCTGGCTTAATGTCCATCTCCCCACTAGTTAATGTCTTAAGGCTAGGGGTGAGCTTTGAGTCCTATTGCCAGGACTTACCACCCTTCCTGGAACAGAATTAATACTCACCAAAGTTTGTTTCAAAACTTCGAGTCTACAGCCATGCCACCCCGATCCCGTCTGATCTCAGAAGCTAAGCAGGGTCGGGCCTGGTTAGTACTTGGATGGGAGATCGCCTACAAAGACCAGGTGCTGTAGGCATAAAAAATAAAAAGGGATTGTAAGCTGACAAAGTCCTTGCAATCTGTGAGGTCGACCAGGGTTGCCTCACCTAAAACAAAACAAAACAACAAAAACTTCAAGACTGAAGTTTGCCCTCTACCTGTCACCTTTCCATTCAGAACACCTTTCTAAAACATACTAACATATGGACCCACCTTCAACTGAGGCCTGGCAGCCTCTGTGTTCCTTTTGTCCAGGTGTCATCTCTTTATGCAGGGTTTTCTCCTTTTTTGAGCAGTTTGGGTTGCCCCTTTCTTGCTCCTCAGTCCATTCCTCTTCCTTCCAGTTTTCTCTTCCTCTTAACAGATAAGGAGGTAGGTCTGACCAGGACAAAGGAGCCATAGCCTGACCAGCAAAGCAGAACAAAAGATTTCCTTCATGGGAAACCCTGCTGTCCTGGCAACTTTGAATAGTTAAGCCTGTGTCGTCAGAATCCATTCCTTGGCCCCCAGCTCTCTTGGACCAATTTCCTGGGGCTGTGTGCCAGAATGTTCTCCATTGGCACTGCCTGCTGAGGAACAGATCCTCCCCCTGCCCAGTGAGTCAGAACTTTCAAAGCTCTTCCCACTTGTGCCTGGACTGGCTTTGGAGAACATCGTGGACATAGTCTGGATGCTTCCATCCAGACATTAACAAGGAGGCCCCTGGACCTGTGTCGTACCTGCCATCTGAGTGAGACTGAGACAACATGTAAAGTAGGGAAATTTAAAAGCAGCAGGGTGGTATAAACCTATTTTGGTGTAAATGCGTGAGAGAATCAGTATTATGATTTTGGACAAAGATGGTAAATTGTGTCATAATAATACATCATCATCTTGGTGGCCAGATCTAATCGCTTAAAAAAAATTTAAACTCTGAACACAGAGTTTTGTCTATTTTAGTAACTGTTTTATCCCAAGTACCTAGAACAGGACCTGGCACATAGTAGGCACAAATATTTTCTTGTGGGGAAATAATTTGGGCCTCAGTTTGGTAAGTGTAACCATGGAAATGCAATTTTGGGCTTTTTGTGTAAGCATTAATGATAGCAAATGAGATTGATGAAAAAACTGATGTGATGTGGAAAACATAAAAATACAATGTTTGGAGTAAGACCAGATACTCTCTTTTCATTACCTCCTTCCCCCATGCACATAAACCAAGTTCTCCTGATTTTCATAGTCTATTTAAATTAATAAAACTAACTGAAGCTTGGTTTTTGAAAAAAAGTAAAAAGTTAAAAAGCATTAGAAACTAATGAATCTCCTTTTCCTTCACATGCTGCATCATTATTTCCAATAAATAACTTCAGTCAGGGACTCTGAAGGCTTTTAGTACCTGATGAGTATGTGAAGGAATGAACAAACGAATGAATGAACAAATGAATGAATGAGTGAATGGTAAGGACTGGATTATGGTTTATAGCTTCCAAAATGTGACCTATTTGCTCTTTATTAGTTGAAGGATCTGCATAATTCCTTATGCGCTGCTCTTGGTTTTTAATTCCTCCAAGAAAAGAGAGGGAGTGTATTTACATTTTTATATAAGATTTTATTCAAGTTATTTGCAGAAGGAAACACAGGACACAGATTTTCCCCCTTCTTAAGGGAAATGTTTGGAGTTCCTTTTGAATACACAGGCAAGCTGGTTAATTAGGTTAATTAATTGGTAGAGAGGATGGGAAATGTTCCTGGGATCTCTACTTACTGCCTGTGCATCACACGTGTGCACACGCACATTCACGCTCATACTGGCTTTCCACTCATGCCTTCTTAGAAGCATTGGACTCTTGCCTGAAATGTGTCTCTGGCTTTATCAAATTCAGACACCATCTTTAGTTTCAGGCACATTGTGCTGACATGGGGACAGCTCTAGCGGAGATAGTATCGGGGAGCATGCTTAGAAGTTAAAGCAGAAGGTGCTGGAAAAGTCTGTTGGGTCAGTCTGCAGGTTCATGATGCTGCATGATTAGACTATCCCTGGGTTTCTTGGCTAGGAGGGGCTTGACCAGTGTGTTCCTCCCTTATCCCTAGAGAGTGAATGTCCTCCTCTTCCCAGCTTAATCAGAAGACATTGATTATGTTGCATAGAGTAGGGCAGACCTTGAATGGTGATCTGGAAATCAAGCCAATCAGTCAGCATCAGCAATAATGATACCAGCTGGTCTTGTTACTTCCTGAGCTGTCTCAATGTGATTTTAAACTGCCTTTTTGAAAAATCTTTCTCACAGAAAGGAAGAGGTTTTATCAGAATGTCAGCATCACACAGGGTGAAGGTGAGTATCCGAAATTTTGACTGCCTCTTTTTCTTCTTTTTTTTTCTGTGAATGGATAGAAATATTTTTCATCTCCTACCAGTTCAGTGGGAAGACTACTCTTTGTGCTTTTGTCAGATATGTTTCTGTAAGCCCTCAGTGAAGGGACTCAGGGTTGTCTTTGTCTGTGCCAGTTCCAGTAGCTAAATATAGGAATGGTCAGTCAATTCCACTTACCAATCCCTGAGAGGTTTTCATTTGATCTTTCAAGGTGGCTTTGAGATAAACCTGGACCACAGGAAGCTGAAAACTCCTCAAGCCAAGCTCTTTACTGTCCCCAGCGAGGCCCTGGCCATTGCAGTGGCCACTGAATGGGACTCCCAGCAGGATACCATCAAATTCTACACCATGCACCTGGTAACAAGTTCACAAACCTACACCCTGATTCCTGCTTCTGGCTTCCTAGGGAACCTGGAAGAAATTTGAGACTTCTAACCAAATTGCAATAAAGCCCTTGGGGGTGGGCTGCAGCTACACTTGCCTCCTCGAATGTAATGAATGTTCCGCTTTGTGGCCTGGTCACCTGCAGTTCCCTGCTCAGAGTACTGCTGGATGGCTGGTTCCTCCTCTGGTCTCAGGGCAGATGTTATCCTCCTTGACTGCCCAGCTGTCTTATTTTCTATCATGGTAGCTGCTTCTTTGTTTCATCACCACTTATAAATTTGTAATTGTCTGTTTCATGTTTATATGGTTATTGTCTGTCTCTTCACTGCCTTGTAAGCACAGAAGGGCAGGACCATGTCTGTCTTACTCACCAGCACAAGCCAACCCTAGCATGAAGTTTAATTGGCACTCAGTAACTATTCATTGAGTGGAAGACCCCAAGGGGCAGTTGGGTGAGGCGAGGCCTTCCCTGGCCCTCATCCATACAGGGTGACTCACTGGGGTGCTAGAGCAGCCTGGGAAAGGGGTCGGCCTAGACTGTTTAGGTCCAAGCTCCACAGCTTCCAAACAGTAACCTCGGGCAAGTTATTCCCCCTTCTCAGCCCCATGTTCTGCATCTGTGAGAAGTGAGTGATAACAGTATCTGCTCCTAAAGTAGTATCAGGTTGGAATAAGCTAATACATAACAAGCCCTGGGTGTGGTCCCTGGCACAGAGAGAGTACTCAGTCAACATAGGAGTTAGTGTTATCATCCCTGTTCCTGCTGTGCTCAGCCTTGTAATATAGACCCATGTGGGCTTCCTCAACATCTTCTCAGCCCACTGCAGTGCTGGTCTGCTCCTTTGTCTGATGACATTAGGGTGACAAAGCTACAAACTAATCATTAGAGTACCTGAGCAAACTCCTATTGACACCACAGATCTGAAAAATAATCCTGCTTCTGGTTTGGCCATTTTTTCCCCCTGCTTTCTAAGGTGTTAAGGGAGCCAGCTGTTAAGCTTTTCAGTCATATTAGAATTCCAGTAATGCTTATGTGTTGTGTTTACTGAATTTGACTCTCTGGGCCTCAGTTTCCACATCTCTGAATTGGGTATAATAGTACCTATCCAAAGAATTGTTGCGAGGATTAAATTAAATATGGAAGAGCCTGGTAGTAAAATATGAGACCTTGGGACGTTCATTAATCCTAGAGCCATGGCAAGAATATTGTGAGTACCATAAGCTATCACATGTAGTGCACTGTTGGTACAGAGCCTGACTGTAATAAGCTCTCAGTAGATGAGCTGCAGCTGAGGTTGTGGAAACACCTTGGGTCAAAGCCTTTGGGTTGGCACTGCTGCTCGCTGGATGGTGCTGGCTGGTTCTCCTTGTTGCTGTGGGCTGGATCTAGTATCCTCAGGAATACAGGTGCTTTGCCTGGGTCTAGCAGGTGGTGACAGGGCTCTCTGTCTTTTGATTCAGACTACATTGTGCAACACATCTTTGGACAACCCAACCCAGCGAAACAAGGACCAGCTGATCCGAGCAGCTGTAAAGTTTCTGGACACCGATACCATCTGGTAATTGATGTTTAGAAGGGCATTCCCTTTGGACCAAGCAAGTCCCTTGAGCTGTTTTGCCTCATTTGCCCAGACAGTTATCAGTGGAAGAAGAGGCAGTCCCTTTTCCTTTATCTTACAGGGCAGGGATAGCAGTCTAGTTGACATCAGCACTTAGCTGCTCTGCAAATCTCTAAAAGGGAGGACTCCTTGGGCTGCAATGGTGTTGGAGCAATGGGCACTCCTCTTCTGTAGTCCAACAGCTCTCCCTTAGTCTGGGGCAGGGTGGGGTGGTGGCATATGCAGCTCTTGCAGGCTCTAGGACCAAGGGGTCACTTTCCAACCTCCAGCAAGGCCTCTGACCTTGGACTTTTGCTTACCAGCACATTCTCATGTAGGCATTCTTATCACTACTTGTCAGCCTAGACACAGATGGCTAGAAGTTGACATTCAGGAGCTGGCTTCCTCCACTTCTAAAATTTTCCCTGTGTCTATTATTTAGTTATTTGTGTATATATATGTGTATGTGCATATATATGTACATATGAAAAACAAGAGTTGGCTCACGCAATTTTAGAGGCCAAGAAGTCCCATGATCTGCCATCGGCAAGCTAGAGAATGAAAGCCGGTGGCATAATTCATTCTGGCTCTGAAGGTCTGAAAAAAACATGTATACATACACATACATAAAGAGATTTTATTATAAACAATTGACTCATAGGATTATGGAGATTGAGAAGTCCCAAGATTTCAGTCAGCAAGCTGGATACCCCTGAGAGCTGATGGGGTGTAAGTTCCAGTCTGACTGCCAGCAGACTTGAAAACTAGAATGAGCCAGTGTTTCTGTTGGAGTGCAAAGACAGGAAAAGAACTGATGTTTCGGCTTACGGCATTCAGGCAGGAGTTCCCTTCTTTATGTTCTTTAGCTAATTTGTTAGTGATATTGAAGGAGAGTTGAAGAAACAACTGAAGTAGTTGAGCAGCATCGTGTCTGCTGGCCCAAGTGCTCTAGAATCTTGAGTTATCTCACAGGTGGCACATGGAATCAGCACTGAGGGCTGAGGAGGGGCAAAGGGGCTCCTAGAGAGGCATCCAGCAGTGCCGATTTTGAGTTGCTAGTCAGAAAATCCAAATGTGTTAGGGGCCATTTGATTGCAGTGAAAAGAAACCCATTCAATCTAGGGTTTTCTTGAAAACTATACAGGGACCCTGATAGGAAATGAAGGACGATAAGCCACCAGATAGTGTACTAGAGTGCCTCCCTCTCCCCTGCGGGGAGAGTCCACCCACTTGTCTGCCCAGCAGCCCGGCTTTTCCTGCACACTCATGATCTTTCTTCCCTCTGCTAACACCAGACTGGCTTCCCACAGTGCCTGCTTGGGTTCCAGTCCCACAAGGCCTTGCAACTTAAGCTCACCTCAGCTGACTCTGTCTTCTATGTCTCTTAGTCAAAACAAGTGGCATAGCCTGGCATCAGGTGGTATCAGGCTTCCATGGCAGTAGCTGTATCTATAGCCAGAAGGCAGTTGGGCTCATGAAGTACAAACAAGCAACTTGGTCTGTGGCCAGGGGCCACGCTCTCTTGAAGAGTGTGGGTAGGTAGGGATACAGTGACCGAGCTTCTATATAGCATTCACATCCATCATCCTAGGATAAAGTAGGTGTGGATCCGGGGTTACAGTATTAGTGTTTAGAATGGTACTAATATAGTGTTGCAAGCCTTGACCCATCAAATAATTGGGGACATTTAGGACAGTGACTCTCAAACTCAAGCTTACATTCAATCCCCTGGAATGTTCGTTAAGACACAGATTGCTGGTCTTCGCCCCAGAGGTTTTGATTTCTATAAGTGTGAGGTGGGACCTCGGAATTTGTACTTAAACAAGTTCCCAGTTGATGCTCCCCTACTGGCCCCAAGGGTCACAGTTGAGAACCATTGCTTTAGGGGAAGACTTGGGCTGGGGCGGTGGTGGCGAAGTTTTTTGCTGTTGCCTTTTGTGTTCTTCCATTGTCTGTCACTGAATGATGGAATTGTACTTTTTTATTAATGAAGGTGATTTTTGCAATGAATTAGCTACAGGGTGGAAGAACCACAGACGTTAGTGGAACTTCAAAAGAATGAGTGGGACCCAATCATAGAATGGGCCGAGAAGAGGTAAGATGCGTAGCCCTACGGTGTTGGCAGTTTGTTGAGATTAGCGGGTAACACTGAATAAGCAGAGCCTTCAGCTAGTGGACTTCTTGAGTCCAGAGCACCTTTGGGATTTGGCACCTCCCATATGTTCAGGAATAGGGCCACCTTGGAAAAAATACTCCTCAAATTTATTTCAGCCACCATGCACCAAGTACCTGCTCTTAGTACAACCTGTGCTGAGTGTAGGAATGGAGCCCCAGCTCTGCCATGATTGGCTATGTGGCCTTGGGCTAGTGACTTATCTCTGAGTGACAGCTTTCTTATCTGTGAGTGGGGCTCATAATCCCTACCTCTTAGGTATTGTGAGGAGTAAATGAAGTGATGCTCAGCATCCTGCCTGGCACACAGTAAATGCTTACATTCTGGCAGTTACCATCTTTACCATTGTCACAATTCCTACATTGTTAAAATAAGTCATAAAATGGCATATATGACATATACACACATGGAGAAAAGTCTGGATACCATCCTACAAAATTATATGTAACATCCTGTGGATATAGGGTGTCTAGGAATTAATGATACTCCATATTTTTCTTTAGCAGGAAGACTCTTTTTTGCAAACTGAGCAGACTATTGATGTGGTGACAAAATTCAGTTTCATTTTATTCCAAGGGGACTTTGAAAGGGCTACTGCTTCGGTACTACCTTGACCCTACAGTATTTTATAAGCTTATGTAGATTACTTTTTGGTGTAGCATTTTTCACAAAAGTGATGTCTGTCAGTTCATCTCATTTGTACGTACCTCCTGAGTGCCCACAGCCAGTTTGTCTCATTTGTACATATCTCCTGAGTGCCCCCAGCATGCCAGGCATCCTTGGGTTCTATAGTAAAAGGCATAGCCAGTGCATTAAAGGATCAAGTAAAATGTAACAACTGTAGTACTGTGTGAGAACGATGAGGATACAGTGTCATTTTGGAGTCTAATGAAATGTAACAGTAATTTAGGTGCCTGGAGACCTTTGCTGTGATACAAAATTGTCAGCTTTTTGTTGCAGTCAAGATTTCTTGTCCTTAATAATTTTTAGAAAAATTTGACTATTTCTTATGTTCCATTTGTAATGTTAAAAATTTTAGCAAGAATATTTCTAAACCAATGGGAAAAATCAGTGATATAAGAAACAAAATTACAAAAATTGCTTTTACTCCAATGTTTTTCCTGTATTTTATATAGTTATGATTATTCTCAAAAATGCATCTTTCTTGAAGCCAGTTCATGTCCCAGACCAAAAACAATGCCTTTTATATAGTAGAGGCTTAATAAATATTTGAAAAAGTGATTGAATGATATAGGACATATACAAATATTATTATAAGGAAAAGAGTATTTAAAAAAAATTTTCATGACCTCAAATGGGAAAAACTTTCTTAAAAAGTTTAAAAAGCAGGTAGACCATGATTTTGATGGAAATTCCAGGCAAATAGAATTTCAGCAGCCTTGTATAAGTGAAACCCCTGCTTGCGTGGCACGCTAACTATGCTTCCATTCAGGGCAGTTTCTTGGTCCTCTGCCTTTGCCCTTGATAGAAATTATTATATCAGGAGTTCACTGACCACAGTGGCCGTTGCTTCCAGAATCCCCAAGACTGACTCCTTCACCACAGGCCCTGAAGGGGCACACACCTACTACTTAGTAGTTTAGGACTTTGCTTCTGGACAAAAGCTAGGCTACACAGCATGCCTGGGGGCATGCCAAATCTTTTCCTTTCAGATATGGTATAGAGATTGGCTCTTCTACCAGTATAATGGGGCCCAGCATCCCAGCCAGGACTCAGGAGGTGCTCGTCAGCCACCTGGCATCTTACAACATGTGGGCCCTACAAGGTATGCATGGTGCTTCCTGTGGGCCTGGGAGGAGGGTAGGATAGGCATGGGCATCCGAAGCCCAGAGGGTCACAGGAGCACTCTAGGCAGTGGCTCTGATGCTGTTCCTTTTGCTCAGTCTGAGGGGACAGTAGGCTCACGCCCTTCCAGGAGAAAGTTGGCTTTTTTTTTTTTCCTTCAGGAGTTCAAGTCTCATTGGCCTGGCCTGAGTCCCATGCCCATCCATGAACCAATTACTGGGCCAGGGGATGGAATGCTCTGATATGCCAGGTTTAGGTCATGGGCCCACCCTAGGTAGGAACAGAGGAGGGATCTCCCCCAAGGAAAACCAGAGTGCTCTCGGAGAATGGGGAATGGATACAGAGCTGGTCAGAAAGCAATGTTTCCTATGGCTGGTCTCCCTTACCTTGTGCCTTTGTACCTCTCTAGGGTTGTAGGGCCTCATAAAGAGTAGGTCTAGCAACTGCCCTGTTTTGGAGTGGAGGTGCCCTGAGTCCTAACTTGGCTTGTGTCCCTGCAGGGATTGAGTTTGTAGTGACCCAGCTCAAGTCCATGGTGCTAACTTTGGGCCTGATTGACCTACACCTGACAGTGGAGCAGGCTGTGCTGCTATCACGCCTGGAAGAGGAATACCAGGTGAGGTTCAGCCACTGGCCTAAAAACGAGTACCTCGAGTTCCTACCTCACCCTTCCCAGATTCAAACTAACTAGGGGTAGGGGGTTACTAACCTATCTGTTTTTATGTAAACTTCATTTTTATTACTTTTGTATACAAACAGAAACCAAAACTAATGGCCAAAGTATTATCAAATAATAATTATAAAAAAATAACAGTAGTAAGTGCTCCCCCTATGTTTCAGCATTGTGCTCAGCTCTCCCATCATTCCCTTCCCTCTTCTAAACAACCTGGTCAGGTGGGGGCTGTTGTTATCCGCATTTCACACAGGAGGACACTAAGGCACAGGTCACACCCCGGAAAAACGACGGAGCTAGGTTTAGAGCCAGGTCTGATGACTTCAGGCCAAGGTCTTCACCCCGACACTGCAGGTGGGGATTAATGGACAGAACTAGATGGTTTGAGCCTGGCATACCTAAAATGACTGGGAGCCATGTTTGTACTCTTGGAGTCAGAGCCTCTACACCCCGATATTCACACAGTAGGTCATCTGGCTGGCTGGGAATACAAGGAGAGCTGCTGTTTGTGCACGAGTTCTGATTTAGTGGGCCTAGAGTTAATAAGGTTTTGTTATGCTGTCATTTGCATTTTTTAACCCTTGAAAATTATGGCGGTCTTTGCTGTCTTTTTGTTGTTATTCTTCCAACCTCAGAAGGTTAATTGCTATTACAATTTGGTTCCTAACACAATGAAACCTTTTTGTAATGGCAGTATTGCTCAAGTCCATCTAGTCATCTGCTCAGAAAAAATGTCTGGGAAAAAACTTTCCGTATTTCAAAAGAGGCTATCTATTCTCTGCATGTTAGAAATGATTAAATGGGAAGAGGGGTGACCTGTGGATCGGATATGAGGCTGTGAGGGTTTTGGGAGGTAGGGAGCTAGGAAACCTGGTTTCTGGTCTGGGCTCTGCTTTTGACCGTGAGACTTGAACCAGGCCATCGTTCTCTGGACTTAAGGTTTGGTCCACCACAAAAATGGAGAGTAACTTGGATTATGCACATGAGTTCTCAGAAAGTATGAAATGCTCTTCAGATCGAGATTGGGCCACTCAGAAATGTTGATAGCTTCTGTGGCATGGCAGATTATGAGTTCCTGCATGAGCTGAGGCAGCTGGGCCAGGCCATCTGGGCCCCTGGCCAGGGAGGAGCCAGCAGGGTTGAACTGGAATCACACTGACATCTGGACAGCCACGCTTTGTGTCCGGGGTTTCTCCCTATAGTTCTTAGAGTCTGGAGAATATGCGACGCTGCCCCAGTGTGCAGAGCAGAGAGGCCTCTGCAGTGTTGCAGCTCCCCTAGGAATTAGAAATGAAGTGACCAGATGGCATTGGTTGATTTTTTTTTTTTATCCCACCCATGTGGGGGCTGCTGGCAGCCCAGCCTGGTGCGGCAGCTCATAGAGGGATGACATTTTACAGGCTGCCTCATGCCCGCCTCCTTGTGGGAAGAAGTGTGAGAAGGGGTGGCACACAGGTCGAGCCTCACGGGAGACACACGTGGTTTTGGTGCCTGGCCTGCCTAGTAGTGGGCACCCACTGGCCCTGGGCCTGGACTGTACTCCTCCCAGACCATCCATACCCTGGAGAAAACAGTGCCTGCTCTGGCCACCTGCGTGTTCTTACCTGTTGCCTCCCACACCATGCACGCCTTGCATATTTTGGCAAGATTGAAGCCTATGGCCCTCAACCCAGCTATAGGGATGGTATGTGGCTCTGTTTGGCAGGCAGCTGGGCACTAGCACTCAATAGCATTTCTTGTCTTCCCCTCAGATCCAAAAGTGGGGCAATGTTGAGTGGGCTCATGACTATGAGCTACAGGAGCTGCGGGCGCGTACAGCCGCAGGTGCCCTCTTTGTCCACCTCTGCTCCGAGAGCACCACGGTCAAGCACAAGCTCTTACAGGAGTGAGGCCTGAGTAGTACGCACTGCAAACCTGGCAGGACAGCATCTGCACAACCACGGGCTCTACCAGCCTGCAGGACACCTTGGCTCAGCCTCTACGTGGCGTCACCCTGAGATGCCTGAGATATAGCGTGACTTTCTGGAGGTCAGCTTAAATCCAACCTAGATGCCTCTGCCCCAGCCAGCATTGAGCAAGGACATAAGTTATACGAGTGACTGTCTTGACTCTGATTTTATTAAATATTTCTCCACTCTGGAAAGGTGTTGTGCCCTGTTTTCATTTGCACCTCTCTATTTCTTCATTCCTCTTGTTATGTCTCGGTTTCACCAAGGCCCAACAGTTTACCTTCCACAGCATGATCTTATATCTGCTGCCTGTGGCTGAGAACCTCATTCTATCCCCAATTATCACGTCATCAACAGAAAACTCTATGTGTGGCCCTGAACCTTCAGCCCAAAGCCTTTTATTTCCCTGTTTTTTAATCAAATGATCTTTTAAAAGTGAGTCCTTTTTGGTCTAAGCTGGTTGTTTCTACTTTTTCCTACTATTTTAGAAAAAATGATTTACTCTTAAACATAGAAAACCTATGTTACTTCTGGGTTAAAATCCTGGGCAGGCCTAGGCAAGGCCACCTGACATGTGCATGTGTCCTACTTAGGGAGCCCAAAGCGTCCTCCTGACTTATCCACTTAGCCACTTACACAGTCCTAGGAGGTAAGTACAGTGTTCTGGTGCCAGGGCCCAATGAGAGGGAAGCTGGAGAGTCTGGTTTCAGGCACCAAAGGCTTTCTGCGCTGTCTATCCTTGTATACCTGAGTAACAAAATGGCATCACTCCCATTCATGGGGCACTGGTCATATGACAGGTACTTCACGCTTTCCATGTGCGTTCCTTGAACCCCTTGACTGTGCTCAGAGAAGGTACTGTCACATCTCTACTACACAGATGAAGCTCAGGCTGCATAGGTGACATGGGATGCCAAGCCTATACTCTTAACCTTCAGAGGGTCTTTGGGTCCCTATAGCCAAGCTCAGAGACATGAGGCCACAGATTCTGCCTCGGTGGGCCAGCCCAGGCCCCAGTGCTGTGCTACAGCCTCTCTGGCTTCATTCCTCAGCACCCAGAGGAGAGAAGGGCTCAGTCCACATTGACCGCCACTGCCTACAGCCAGCAGCCTGCTCTGGGCTTGTCAGAGGAAATGGCACACAGCTGACAATAGTCCACAGACAAGAGTCTAGCCCACTGGGCACCCCCTAGGGGTTGCTCTCAGATTGACCTGCTCATCTTGGCCTTTTTCTCCAGCTCATACATTGAATGTGAATTCTGGTTATTTCTTTAAATAATGGAGAAAAGATGACGTAAGTCCTTTATTTTTCTCTACATTTGGAAGTTTTTCCAGGGATGGGGGAAGAATGGCATTATGAGGGTTATAGGTTGAGAAGTCTCCAGTAACTTCCGAGGCAGTCAGTGAAACAGGCACTATCCTGGTCAGGGCTGAGTGCTGTACTTTCAAAAAGAACCCTCTGTGCTGACACACCCCTAATCTATAATGTCGCTGCTATCCAGGTTGTCCAGTTCATTCTGCATGTGGTCGATATATTGATTGATCTCCTTCACTCGCTTGCGGTTCCTTATGATCTCATCCTTGTGAATCTGGGGGGTGAAATCAAAGCCCAATGTTTTTAAGTTAGGTAACTGGTTGATATCATTCACTAAGTCCAGTTTGGGAGAAGGAAAAATAGTTCTTCGAAGTTTGCATATTTACATCTCTCATTTACTTCATAGCTTCCTGGGTTCTGCTTATCTATATATTTGAGGTATGAGTTAGAAAAATGATGAAGCACATGGGTTTTAAAGTCTGACTGAGCAACACGAAGTCTCCAGTGTGGAATTCTGCAATCCTTAAATTTATTTCTTCATTTCTTTTTGCAAATAGTATACACTCCCTAGGGAAGATTTCCACTTTCTCCCTGGCTGGTAGCTAGAGGAATTGGTGCAACCTGCTAGACCAGTTACATTTACTCACCTTGTCCACTAAATGTGTACACCAAGAGTTGATCCTGGTCACCAGCTCATCTTCTCGATTGTCAATCTTCAGGAGGTGGATGTCATGCGATGCCCCAACAGCGTTAACAATTGTGTCTTTGTCCACAAAAAGCTGGTGAGTGAAAGATCAAAGGAGTGAGTGTGTCTCATTATGCCCTGAGCACAAAGTCAGCAAGCAGAAGAGAAAGGACACCTGAGAGCCCCCTGGCTGGTGGAGGCAGTACCAAGCAGGTGGCTGCCCACAGCCCAGTGGAGAGCCCACCTTTTCTCACAGCTTATCTTCCGGTGACAACCCTCCCAGACCTGAGCAATATCAGTGTTATGGAGGAAAGGCCAATCAGGATGTTGACTGTGACCCTAGTTAGGAGTGTCTTTTCTCTAGGGAGAAGGCAGATGGCTGCCTCAGGAGTGACCTCACTCAGGACATCTCTCACAGTGGTTCTCTCTCAGTTGCCCTCAAGACTGACTTTTCTGAATGCCTGCCAGCTGGGTGGGAAGTCTGAAGCTAGCCAAGGGTCTTGAGGCTGCTCTGAGGACAGAGGCCCTGCAAACCAATGGGTGCTCACCCCACATCTATCTACTGCCCTTCACATCAGCCAAATCAAACTTGGATTGCACTTGAGGTCTCCTGCCTTCTCTCATTCCTGACCTTGTTTTCTGCCTTATAAAAAGTTGTTGAAAATGACCACCCTCTACTAGGCCTGGCTGGTTCTAGATGTTCACACTGTGGCTGTTATGTGCCTGGCACAGTTGAAAATCAAGTGGAATCATTTCCCAGAGCAGAGGAAGGCTGCCGAAGCACTTAGCACGTGGTCACTTCTGCTATGAACGGAGGTGCTTTGTAATGCCAAGGACAGCACAGGACCTGAATGTTCTACATTGAAGAGAGGACTGAAAGTGGATGCATACTTGGTCTTTTCCTTTTGTACAGTAGCGGTTAACTTAATGTCTCCAAAATATGTTCTGTGAAATTTTGAGTTGTAAATATTTCTGCAAAAAGAAGAGTATTCTTTGATTGAATATGTTTGGGAAAGTCTGCATACACTATGTCTCTCTTGAATTTCACAGTGCACAAAGCATTTTTTCAGTGATGGCTTTGGAAAGTCCTATGGAAAATAAACCCTTTTAACTTTGTCTCTCTCAGTTTTCCAACTTATTTGGCCACAGACTTTTTAAAAAAATAAATTTATTTATTTAAATTAGTTTCAAGTATACAGCGCATTGGTTAGACATCTATATTGTTCATAAAACGATTCCCCCAATTGCTCCCTCCCTTCCCTGGCCCTCCACGTAGCATCATATTAATGCTAACTGCATTCCCTGTGTCGTGCTCCCCATCCTTGTGCCCAACTATCAACTACTAATTCGTACTTCTTTAATTCTTCACCCCATTCTCCCAGCCCCCCAAACCCCCTCTCCTCTGTCTGTCACCAAATTATCCACTATATTTGTGAATGTTTTTTATTAGTTTGTTCTTTTTGTTCCTTAGATTCCACATATAAATGAAATCATATGGTATTTATCTTTGTCTGACTTATTTCACTCAGCATTGTAACTGCCAATTTGTACTTCTTGATTCCTTCAGATTTTTGTCCAGCCCTCCAACCCCCTCCCGTCTGGCAACCATTAGTTGATTTTCTGCATCTATGAGTTTGTTTCTGTCTTGCTTGTTCAGTAATTTTGTTTTTTAGATTCCACATATAAGTGAAATCACATGGTATTTATCTTTCTCTACCTGATCAATTTCACTTAATACAATACCCTCTAGGTCCATTTATGTTGTCACAAATGGTAAGATTATTTTCTTTTTTATGGCTGAGTAATATTCCATTGTATATATGAACTTCTTTATCCAATCATCCAATGATGGGCATTTAGGTTGCTTCCATATCTTGTCTATTATAAATTGTGCTGCCATGAATATTGGAGTGCATAGATCTTTACGAATTATTGTTTTGTTTTTCTTTGTATAAATACCCAGAAGTGCAATTTGAGTCAAAAGGTATATCCATTTTTAATTTTTTGAGAAACTTCCATACTGTTTTCCATAGCAGCTGTACCAATTTGCAGTCCCACCAACAATGTATGAGGGTTCCCTTTTCTCCACATCCTCACCAACACTTGCTATTTTTTGATTTATTGATAATAGCCCTTCTGACAGGTGTGAGGTAATATCTCATTGTGGTTTTAATTTGCATTTCTCTGATGATTAGCGACCTTGAGCATCTTTTCATGTCTGTCAGCCATCTGTATTTCCTCTTTGGAGAAGTATCTGTTCAGGTCTTCTGCCCATTTTTTAATTGGATTATTTCTTTGTTGTTGAGCATAGACTTCTTTTTAGAGTAACACCCATTACTGTCTTGTGGGATACTGGTTTTCCACAGAATCCCATGTGGAAAAGCTAGGCTAGCCGATGTGAGGAATGGGGCACCTGGGAGCCCGACTAGCATTGTCACTTGGGAGAAATGATTAGAAGTCATTAAGTTCTTTCTCTGTGCATAGAAAGTCCCAGGCTAGACTTTGGGAAGGGTTCAAAGACATGTACAACCTGCCTGCGCGTGAGCCTCAGTCAGCATGCACTGAGTGGTTGTGCCAGCTATTTCAAAAACAGCCACAACCACAACATTAATCCCTCATGAAAAGTTCCTCATTTGTTTTTAATGGTCACATCTGATCTCCTAAGCCGAGCACAGAAATTGTCTCCTTAAAGTTTGGATATGTAGAAGATAGCTTTGGAAGCTGTGGGAAGTGAAGTCTGCTTGGAATGGATGAGGTAAGAATTGGTTATGAAAAACTGACATTTGTAAAATATGAATGAAAGGAATCTGGTTTAAATAAATTATTTTAAAATGCAAGTTTCAAATTGTTTCCAGACTCCAGGTGGCCTAGATTGGTGGCTATGTCAGTGTGCCTTCAAAATAGTTCTTATGGGTATAATCTTATGGGTAGATTATTTTCCCCATAATAATAATAATACTTATAATAATCTACCCATAAGATTTCAGATTCCCCTCCCATTTCTGCAGGTCAAAAGCCCTGAAGTAGAGATGGGTGTGCAGAGTCCTTACGGAGTGGCAGCTACTCCTGGATCTTGAGCCATCCCATCTTGTCTGTGGGCCTTTCGGCTATAAAGACACGTTTCTTTCAAAGAGACTTCTTGGGAGTACTTTTGAGAAGGGCAAAGCTGGTGCCCTCCCCAGGACCACCACGATGCTGATGGCTTGAGGATTTGTTGCCCCAGGCCCAAGTAGGATCAGATCATTCTATCACACCTGTCCTGGGCACCTGATGACACTGCAGTGCCCTCTGCCACAGAGAAATGAGCAGAGAACCTGCCCCACCCAGTCCCTGCTCAGCCAAAGGGTCAGTGACCTGTGCTGCCAGCCCTACTGCCAAGGGGGAGCCTTTAGGTCCCAGCCAGAATCTTGTCACAGCCACCCTATCCAGGGACTGATGACCTGGGTCACACCCACTGTCACTTAGCAGACTCTTTGGGGACTCACAGGTCCACTGGCCTGAACACCAGCCCTGCCCTTGCAGCTGGATGCCCACATGGGTGTTCAGAGCACCCAGGGATCATGTCTGGCCTCCTGCTGCCTCCTAAATGTGGCAGTGGCTCATTATAGCATGAGGCTGTGCTCTCAGCCCTGGTGGAGGAAAGCAGTAGTATGCTGCTGCCCCACTGACTTTGCCATGGGTAGCTGTGCCTGCCAGCTCCACTCAGGCCTTCCCTCATTGCCAGCTCCAAGCTCTCCTTGAGCATGTGTGTTCTGCTTTTCCTTCCAAAGTGGTGAAAGATTTTTTAAATACCGATTTGGCCCTAAATATGCATGAGTTGGTCACAATCATGCAGTTGCATGAGTTTTAAAGAAACAACCTCATCAGTGTGACTCTTTATCATGATATGCTCATTGATAATTATGAAACAGAAGCCATATTTTTTTACCAAAGTTCTCTCATTCAAACATCCTTATCTTGCTACGGGCTCAGTAGACATTTTGACAAAGGCTTTGAGTCAAACTGTGTTCGAATCACAACTCTACTGCTTACAGACTATGTATCTTAGGCAGGTTACTCTCATCTCTGTGCCTCAGTTTCCTCATCTGTAAAAGGGAGCCATAATGTACTTATTTTACTGTTTTCATATGGAGATTAAAAGAGCAAATATGTGTCCAGTGCTTCTCAGACAGCTGGCTTGGGAGGCCCTCAGGAACTCTTAGCTATTTGTGTTTTTATTACATTTTACAGTCAGAGCATGCTTTTCTACCCCTGAGAACAATATGCCACATTTTGTTGTTTAACTCTAAGGAGACATAAGCAACAGTGTAAGATCCTGGCAATGTCTTTTACTGCAACCACATACTTTCCCGAAAGGACAAAGCCTCACACAGGCCCACAGAGAGAAGGGCATCCAGTGGGCCCTGCTGGCTGCCCCTTAATGGGCCTTGAGAGTGGCAGGTAATATCAACCCTGCCAGGGAGTCCAAGGAGCCCCTTAGCTCAGAAGCAGAGCCCCATTACCCTAATGCCTGGAGCCTTGGGCAAACCTATAACCCCAAATTGTAGTCCACAGTGGGGGCACAATGCCAACTCTGCAGGGGACAGCCCAGGCTCTGCATCTCTCAGACTAGTCTGATTCCAGACTCTGGTCCTCACAAGCTGTGTCATCCTGGGCACTTTACCAATTTTTTCTGAGACCCAGTTGTACCCAATTTTCCCATCTGTAAACTGGGGATGATAATGGTGCTGCCTTTATAGGGGCCTTTGGTGAGAAAATGAGATCATGTATGAGTACCAGGCAGCAATGCCTGGACAGTGTGAACCCTCAATGAGCAGAGCTCTGTGTTGCCAGCCAGCTGTAGTCAGCTCCCACCTAGGCAGCAGGTGCTGAGTGTTCCTGGAGCCACAGAAACAGGTGTCAGATGGTGCCAGGCAGAGCCATCCTGACAGGAGACGGCCGACCACTGAAAGAACCAAACCAGCCTGCTTATCTACCATTGACCTTCGGGCCATCTTTTTCTGTGTGTCATAGTCATTAGGGAGCATGTTTTAGTTCTGTATCTGCTGAATGTCACAGACCTGGAAGCTGTGCCATGAGGGAACTCTATCTACCTCTTGATGGTCCATCTGGGGGGTTCCAGATGGGGCTCTTGGGGGCAGCCTTACTTCAGGGCTGGGGAAGATGGCAGCTCCCTGTGTACGAACAACAGCAGCATTTAGCGGGTGTTTAGGGGAGGAAGGCTGGTGACACAGTGGCCCTACCTCCATGCTGCTGTTTTGGGTGTCTATCAGCCCAGACAGAGGCTATGTGAGTTGGGGACTGCTGGTCTCAGGAACATAACAGCGGAACTTCTGGTACCTCGGCTGTGCCGTGAACCGTTGCCAGCACTGGGGAGGTATGTGGTGCTGAAGTGGCCATTCCCCGCTTCCCTTTACGTAGTGTGAATAGTCACATAGCCAAAGCAATTGTAAACAGCTTGAAATTGTGATAAAGGCTCTGACGATGACAAATTAAGTGTGTGATGGACAGGTTTTTCAGGAAGGTGATGAGGGAGGGCCTCTCTAAGAGCTGACATTTGAACTGAGATCTGAATGACATGGACAAGCCAGACACATGGAGACCAGAGGGAAGAACATGTCTGTGAGGAGGAATAGCAACACAAAGGAGCAAGCCCGGGAGACTGGGGAATGGCTCAGATGCTGGGGGCAAAGGGAGGAGTTCATTGGGGTAGCAGGCCAGGCATGAAGGTCTGGAGGATTAGGGTGAAGAGCTTCCTCAAAGAGTCATGGGAAGCCATTAGAGGGTATTGTGCAAAAACACAAAATGCTGTGGTTTGGGTTTTCAGAGGATCGCTCTGACTGCCACCTGTAGGAAAGCAGTAAGGAGACCAGTGGTCCAGGCAAAGGGCAATGACGTCTTAACTTGGTGGTAACATCGCGATGGAGAGAAATTGAGAAACTGCTACCGGAATGAATGATGAAGGAATGAAATGCTCTTGACAAGAAAACATCTGGGCCTGGGCCCTCCCGTCGTTGCCTGTGCCTCTTCCCAGAGACATAACACATACTGCTACTGGACACCAATGCAGGACCCAGAGACCCAGGCACCCATGCTGACCCTGCTGATCCATGACCATTTATCACTGGGTGCTCTGGTGGAAAATGAGAGACAGTATCATGCTGGATCAGAAATGGTGCTTGGTTTCCAAACCCCAGCAGTGCTTCTCATCATAGAGACTTGAGAGTTAAGAAGACCTTTGGAGAAATCCCAGACCTTAGCTCTATTTGTAACTGCCTCTCTTAGAAAGTTCCAGAAGCCCCACAGAAATGAGTTTTTGGAAAGCAACCTGTTGGTAAGTTAAAACTACCTAATTATCAGGAGCTCCTCTTTAGTTGGGCTCTACCGAATCCCCAACCAGGTACTTTGTTAGCCCATTTCATCTGCCAACCACCCTGCAAAGGGGGCTATTTTCCCTTTTTGCAAATGAGGAAACTGAGGCCCTGGGAGGTTTTAAGGCTTACTGGAGCCACAGAGCTTGGCTGGACTGTGTCTGCCAGGCGCCAGTATCCACTGGGCCCGCCACTCCCGACCATGCTCCCAGCCCCATCCCACCACACTCACCGCCCGTACGTCCTCAGGCAGGTCCTCATCCAGCTCACCCTTGACTATCTTTTCAAGGGTATTGATGGAGATCTCCAGGAGCTTCTCGTGGTGGTGGGTCTCCAGGTCCCGACACTGAGCCATTGTGCAGCCACAAGTTAAGCAAAGGCCAAAGGTGGAGCCGGCTCAACATGTCCCTGACCTGTGGGCTGGGACCTCGGCAAGAGCTCAGAGGGCCAGGCCATTGCTGCTAGATGAGAGAACAGACTCTTAAGGACCAAAAGGCAAACTCTGAGGAGCCCCTTCATAGCCATCTACCTGTGTGCACCAAACCCCAGGGCCATCCTGGCTCCCCCTGGTCATCATTGGCTCTTGGCACTGGGCTTTCCATGTGTCCCTCCATCCTCTACTTCTCTCCATCCCACCACCTCCTGACTTGACTGTAGACTAAGACCTGGTCTCCTACTCTAGCCGTTTCTCCCCACAGCAGCTAGAGTGTGCTATAAAGATGTAGGTGAACAGGACACCATTCTCCTGTGCTTACAGCACTCCAGGAGCTTCCCGCTCTCTATTGTGGCCTAAGGGCCTCCTCTTGGCTCAGAATTCTCTGGCTCTTCTCAGGACCTTTGCATGGGCTGTCTCCTCTGCCTGTCATCCCCACCTTTCCACCTGGTCCCTCTGGCTCACTCTCAGATCGTCACTTAGTGGGCCTTTCCTCAAAGAGGCTCCAAGCCCTGGTCTCTTGGTTTGCTGCTTTTCACTGTCTCCATCACTTCTGTCTCCTGTGGGACTGTGGGCTCAGGAAGGCAGGACCAGGGATCATTTCTGGAGCACAGTTTGCCCCACACAGCAGGGCCCTGAGTTCATATGGCAGAAGGGTTGATTATGCCCCAAATGTTGGCTCCTAACCTGCTGAGCTCATTATGAATAATTTGTCAGTGTCTTCAACTGGAAGTTGCCTCCCCCACATGTATACCTGTGGGGCAGTGGAGATTCTGGGGTGTTGTCTCCCATTGAGTGTCATTCATTTGAGAAAAAACTTGCCAGGATTTCTACTGCAAACAATGCCTTCCTTTCCCCAGCATGGCAACCCTGCAGGGGTTACTCAGACAAGCTGTCATTGTTCTGAGGGTGGGGAAACTCTCAGACCTGGGGGCACATTCTTTGAGTCAAAGTGGTTGCCAAATCTCCATCCTTTGAAGGTGATCTTTTTTCCTTGGTGAAAAAAATGGAGGTTTTACATTTCTCTAATTTCCAAGGTGGAGATTCCCACTCAATAGGATCTTGTGATGAATTTAATATCATCTTGGCAGAGGTATAGATCTTCCTGTAAATCAAACGGGCATAGATATTTCTGATAAAAAGCAAAGTGCTGACTTTTTACTATCTCTGCCAATATGTTTAGGGCACTGGTGGCAGTGGAGGGGGCAGATGTTTGACTTCTCAGGTGGCCAAGGGGATCCCACTTATTTGCATTCTGCTTAGTCTGTAAAGAAGCATTACCTTTCCTTGCCTTGTGTTAAAAATGTAGGCACCTCTCCCCTACCTCTCCTGGAGGCACGGGGAGCAGTGGTATTGGCCAGGATAACCCCACGGGCCCAGTAGCACTTCCCCATGGAAGGTCACCAAGGAAAGGATATAGGCTTTGCACATTTTCAATAAAGAATCCCACCAAATCAATGATGTTCCTTTCAAACAAGTTTATAGTCTCCTAGAAATGATAAGGAACAGTTAACATGCACATTTAGACACGAACTTGACAGGTCTAGCCTCAGAGCAAAAGACGCATCTTAGAACTTAGCCAATACCTCCTCTAATCACAGAACTTCAGGGTAAAGACCAACTACTTTGGCTTTCCCAGTAGATGTCTGTGAACTGATCCTACTTCTTCCTTCTGACCTCTATCCCACAGCTCCATTACTCTCTGACCATTTCAACTCACCACCCCCTAAATATTTAATGCAGTGCTTTCTCCAGGCCTGTGCCCGTTTTCCCTTGGCCCGGAACACATGTCCTGGTCTTACACCCCTGCACACATATACACAGAGCTACTTCCCTTCTTTTGGGCTTCTCAGTGGCATCTATCACCTCCAGAGAATACAGGGACATCGTCATTATGAGCCAGAATGCCTGGGTCAGTGTCCTAGCTCCACCACTGTGTGTAACTCTGGGAATGTTTTTTAACCTTCCTGGGCCTCAACTGCCTCATCTATGAAATGAGTTTCCTTCATAATATCTGTCTCATGGAGTTGTGGTAAAGCTTAAATGGGTCCATGGCCATGCCACCCTGAAAGTGCCCAATTTCGTCTGATCTCGGAAGCTAAGCAGGATCGGGCTTGGTTAGTACTTGGATGGGAGACCACCTAGGAACACCAGGTGCTGTAGGCGTAAAATAAATACATACATACATACATACATACATACATACATACATAAAAACATAAATAAATAAGAACAAGAAGACCACTTAATTTGAATTCGAGAATTCCAGTTCTGGTTGTGCCTTGTGTGACTTTCCCACACAAAATGCTATGCCTGTCAGAGAGAAAACCCTCAATAATGCTGGCTGTTACCCTAGACGTCTCACTAACTGTGCCCTGCAGGCACTCCTGCATTGCTGCATCCCAGTGCCTTAGCAAGGCACCCAGGGCCTAATGCGACTTGATGTTGATTGAGGGAACAATGGAGGATGCATGGTGAAGCCAGCTACCCTACGAGCCCCAGTACAATCCACCACAGACTACAGAACTGCAGGGTGGGCTGATGATGCAGGGAAACTACATGAGCCTGGAGATGGTCTATGGGCTGAGCCAATTATACATGTTCCAAATGTGCGTAAACACTATTGTAATGAATAAAACTAAGGTCACTGAAAAGCACAACTACATTTATAGCCTTTTGGCTACTGTGCATGGGTCCCAGGGAATTTGGAGATTTTGAAAAGGGGATCTGCTAGAAAAGGTTGCAAGCCACTGCCTAAGCCTCCCCTGAGGCTCGCATGCTGCTTTCTGCAGTGCTTGAGCATTCCCCAGCGGGGCATGAGCATCTGCTATGTGATGTGATGGGGAAATCTATCCTGTGTCTGAGATGTCACTTGACACGTGAGGAATTGATCAGCTGCTATCTCTTGGCCTAGCCATGGCAGCATCCAATGAGGTTTGATTCATCACAGCACTCTAGACTCCCCGCCTCAGCTGCCTTGTGAACACACCAGTCACTCTGGCCCCTAAGGAATTTTAGATAGCAGTGCTTTTCTTTCTCACTACTTAGTGCTAAATTGCAGGCTCCTTGCATCTCCCTGACATGCAGCAACTACAGGCTGAGATGCGGAAGAGCCTTTGTTTCGTACTCGAGTGCGGTTTTACTTCATTTTTTGAGCAGCCAGGTCTAATAAAAATCCTCTCTCTGCTGAGGCTCTGGGCATTTCCAGGATCGGGGGCGGGGTGGGGAAACACTCCAGAGGAGGAATGAGCTCACCTCCCATGCTGCATAAGAATTACTTGCAATGTAAATGATTGAAATGTATTAAAAGCAAGCAAAGGACTGATGAGGAAAACATCAGTCTGACATGCTGAATCGCACTGGATGTTTCCAGCAGACGAATGCCTGGGAAGGCTCCAGCTGGAGTGTGGTTTTTTAGTTGCATCACCAGCTTCTTGTAAATGAGGCTAGCAGAGCACGGTCATGTCACATCTGTGCCCAGGGGCCCGGTCTCACCTCGAGCTGCTCTACCAACTGCATCTCCAGCGTCATGAGCCCGTTGTACAGCTCAGTGATGTCCTCACTGTATTCCACTATCTTCATCTCAACGTTGGTCAGTTCAGACTCATCACGTATAGCACTTAAACTCTGGAAACAAAAGCCTGGGCTTTAGAAATCTATAAGTAATTGTAATTAGTTCATGACAGGTGGCAATTGGTCTTGTGGGTAAGAATTTGGGACTCTGGGTTCAGTCTGCTCAAGAGTTAGCTTTGCCACTTGCCAGCTCTGTGAGCTTGTAGAAGCTAATTATCCTCTCCATGTCTGGAGGCTGTTAGGGCAGATGCTAGCACTAGCTAGCATGAGCTTAATCCATGTTAACTTTGGTTTTTGTTTGAGGTGGCTGATGGGAAGGAACTATGGCTTCAGCGTCAAGTGGACCTGAATTTGAATCTTCTCTGTGTTACTTATTAGCTGTCTGACCTTGAGTGAGTCACTTCCATTCTATAAGCTTCAGTTTCCTCATGTAAATGGAGAGAGAATCTGTGCTTCACAAGGTCCTAGGAATTAGGCAGTGTATGTGAGGTCTTGGCTCACAGTGGGGGCTTGACTAATGGAGACTCAATAAAGAGCCTACAGCAGGCACACGTAGGAAGAGACACTGGAAAAATAAGACAGTCTTTGAGGAAACCGGTAAGACCCACACAGAACCCTCGTGAGAAAGTGGGTGTTAGTAGTAAACAGAGCTGGAGCATTTGGAATGAGAGGGTGTTCTCGGGCTAGAGAGCACCCTGGGGGCTGAGTGGGGCACTGAATACCAGGGGTTCACTAACAAAAGACCTAGAGAATTGGCCACTGGATATAATGTAAACTTGTTTCTGTTGATATTTGGTGTTTCTTGCGAAGGACGAGTAACTGGATACGATTCAGGGGGGCGAATGACATTTATAATAATGGCTACTTTGTCTGGAGAAAAATCAGATTCAATTCTTACCTCAAGCCTTACACGAAAACAAATTCCTGTCAGTATGAAGATTTAAATGTAAAAAATAAAGGCATACAAGTATTAGAAGAAAAAAATGAAGGATTTTTAATAAATAATCTTAGAGTGGAGAAGTTATTTTTAAGTATAACCAGAAGAAAAGACTGATCAATTCTACCACATAAAAAATTCTAATACTCTGAATGATAAAAACATCACAGACAAAATAACATAACAAACTGGGAAAAATATTTGTAATTTATTTCACTGACATAAGGCCAATTTCTGAATCTATAAAATGTTCCTACAAAGTAATAATTTTTATGAGAGAGAGAGAGCGTAACACCAAATAAAAAATGGGTAAGGACATATTATAAGAACAAATAGTTCACAGAATAAATAGATGTTTGTAAAACATGTGATGCTCACCCTCCTTTAAGAGAAAATAACAAATTAGCAAAATTGAGAAAGCTTGCTAACACTGTCCGGACAGGGGAACCAGCAGGGCTGCAAAAGGTTCAGCCTCTGTGGAGTGCAGTTGGACAAAAACTAGTAAAAGTAGCAATGCACAGTGCCACCTCTAGAACTTCATCCTACAGATCACACTTGCGCCAAGTTATTCATTGCAACACTGTTTGAAAGAGCGAGAAACTGGAAAAAAAATGTCCATCAACAAGGATGGGTTTAATAGATTATGGCTCATCCATGCAATGAGCTATTCTACAACTATTAAAAACATGAAGCAACTCAAGTTTTAGAAGGATTGCTGAACTGCACAAGTAGCAAATTGTAGAACAATGCATGTTATACTTGCATCATATACACACATGTGCACACACATGCACACAGACACAAACACATGCACACAGGTACATGCATGAGCACACATGCATGCATATGTTCACACTCACATGCATGCACGTGCACAGAGACACAAACACATATAGCGTATGTACACATGTATATACACATGACTAACACATGCCAATGACACACATGTGCACACATGGGTTGGAGGCAGACTATACTCCCCTGTATACATTTTTCATTCTGTATCTGTGCTCACATTTGTATTACCTATCCACTACTAGTCACTATGGTCACTAGAGTAACTATGACTACATATGAAGAGGAATTTGTACTCAAAAGGTTAATCAGCTCTTTGCTCTGCTTCTACAGATATGCTTGCTGCATAGGCCATACTCAAAATTAACTAATGACTCATCCTCCCTTTTGCTTGTTTTGTCTAAGCAACAAATGTAACTGCCTATACCCCACAGCAACTACTGCGCTTTGTAACTGTCTGAGGACAAATTAACCAATCAGTGCATGCCAAATAAGTTCTATATAAGCAAAGCTGCATCTGAGCTCAGGGCCCAGATCTTCAGAGTGCTAGGTCCTCTGGGACTGCCAGCCTAATAAACCTGAGTTCTCCAACTCTCCGAGTGCTGCTTAGTTTCTTGCAGGTCTGATTTTTGCAACTTTTCTGCAACACACATAGACTATCATCTTCATTTCATTGAGGAAATGGAGGCCAGGAGAGGATCACCAGCGCGGAGTCCGCCTGAACCACCCCTGCTGGACACTGGAAAGGAGTGTTGTGTAAGCCTGGGTCTAGTTGGGGTGGTGAGAGGAGTGCAAGACAAGCTCACAGAAACATCCTGTGAGGAAAAGGAACTGGGGCCTACAGCCCGTGGAGTTTGTGAACTTTTCCAAGACAAGTGGACTCAACTTGGTTGAACATTAGAGGCACCTAGGCACACTGGAAAATCCCAGTGGGTGCATCCCAAGAAAGACTTTGAGGGTGCCACCATGCAGACCAGGGCCTCATGAAGTCAGAGGAGCTGGCCTGGTCTAAAGATCTGAGCTCAAGGAGCAGCCTGTTAGGGGGTTGGGCTTGGTGCCAGCAGGAGTGCAACACTGGTTGTGGCCTGGCCCATGTTCTGCTTCTTTAGGGGGATTTGTTGCTGAGGGGCCTGGGCCCCAGCCTGGGGCTTCAGGAGGAGCCAGTTGGCTGACATCCAGTTTTCCCAAATCCAGTGGCTACAGGGACTAGATGAGGAATGTCATGGAGGATGTGCCAGACAGGGCCTGGGGGACTTGAGACGTGGTCTGTCCAGAGGGCACAATCGATCCTCAGGCCCTAATGACAACTGCCTCCAGAGAAGCTAGCAACCACAATTCTTCTGTGAAATCTTCCTGTTTTTAATGTCAACAGGATATTCAAAATGTTTTAAAACCCTCTGCAGGCCAAACAAAATATGTATGTGTACCAAATGTATTCATCTGCTGACAAGTTTTAACTTCTGGTTGAATGCATAACACCCCTCCCCATAACCTAGGTCCCATTGACAAGGCTAATGGGATACGTGGGTGGAGAGAATGGGGCATGCAGAGTGGGAGGGCCGGGAAGCATACTGGGGCCTATCACCAACCCTATTATATCTGAATTTGCATCATCAAGGGATTTTCTACTTTAGAGTTCTCAGCCAGGAGTGGCTTTATGGGCCCCTGATGCAGCAGGCAAGTGTTCACAAACTTGGTGTGTGTAAACAGTTTTTTTTTCCCCCTCTTTAATTCTCTCCCCTTTCCATCCCTGACCTATGGATGTTGCCATTTCCCCTTAAGAAATGGATCTCTAAAGGCAGGTCGTCTCCTCCCACACGCCTGTGGCATGCGCCCAGGGGCCCTGGCGCACCGCCCGGGGCCTTGCATACTTGGGGTATGATCCGTGGCTCCACCTGGGGTGCAAACCCAGGACCTTCTGCATGTAAAGCAGATGTGCTAACCACTACATTATGGAGCCACCACTGAACAGTTTTTTGAGGAGAAAGAAAGTCCATTGCTTTCCTTAGAGTCTCAGAAGTTCTATGACTTAGAACAGGTTAGGGATTGGCCTTGCAAAGTAATGCTAACTAAAGAAACAATGCCCATCAAGTACACATGGCCCCTGCTTGGGCTGGGCTGAGTGGCCTGGGTCAGGCAGGTCCCATATGCCTGTGAACCACCTTTCTTTCCTCTATCACCCCTGGAAAACTCTTCTGTGTCCTGTAAGCCTCAGCCCAAGTTAAGGTGCCTCTGGAAACTCCCAATGCTTCCTGGCTTCCCTCCAGGTTGGTGCTGACCACTCTGAGAATCTGACCACTCTGGGAGGGCCTGGGTCTATGCCCCTCACCAGATGGGGGCTGTCTCAGGGCAGAAGCCATGTCCAGCACAGAGCCAGGCACAGAGCGGGGCTCAGAAAATTTTGCTAAATAAACAAATGAACAAAAAGGAAGGTTTTTTTTTTCCTTTCATTTTTTCATATGGTCATTATCATCACCATAATAGTAGTGATAATAAAAACACCATTTAAATAGTAATGATGATGGTACCTTGAACCTCAGGGGTGTTTTAGGTGAAAGAAACCCACAGGCCCCATGGCTCAGCCTTGGCCAGCAGAGGAGCTGTGGTTGGTAGTGTCAGTGGAATCTTGGCTCAGACAGTGAGCTGGGTTAGCTCTGGCAAATGCGAACAAGGATCATGGGCCTCAGGGGTCGTCAGATGTACAGGGGCTACTGCCTGTCCATTGGGTCCAGGCCCCCAATTGCATGGACACCTGCAGCAGGAGGCAGGAAGAGAACAGGGAGGGTGGGGCCTACCAGCAAGTGCTTCTCCTCAAACTTGGCAATCCTCTGTTTTCCCTGCTCCTGGTTTTCCTGGATGGCCTCGTGGACACATTCATTGAAGGTTTCAAGCTCTGCTTTCCGCTTTTCATGCTGTTTCAGTCCATACTCAAAAATGTTCAGGCAAATGATGACAAATTTGTCCTTGTAGGTGAGTGGCTGTTAAGGAAGCTTGAGGTTGTTTTAGGTGCAGGACTTGGTGTTGGTAGAGCCAGGAGTTGATATTTGGAGGATAAGGTGATGGTTGGAGAATCTTTACCCCTGGCCTGAGGGATTCAGACACAGGACCTACGTGAGGGAAGAAGCTAGGGGGCTACAGGAGGAGACTACGGAGCAGAGGAGACACATGCTAAGAGACTCCTGAGGGACCTGGATGGGATAGGGAGGGGCTGGGAGTCCGGGGAAGCCTGCTTGGCCTGGGAGCGAGGCAATGTGTATTTTTGTTTCTGTTGTGTTATATAGATGGCACCTTTGTTGAGGGTCTGTCTTCAGGTGCTGCAAGTGTGCTGAGGGAAACTGCAATGGTCGGGGGGTTGAGGGGGCGGGGACCATGGGCTGGAAGCAGAGAGATCTAGGTTCAAGCCCTGGCTCTGCTACTGCTTCTCCCTGGCAAGCTGCTTCCCCTTTCTGGGCCTCAGGTTCCTCACCTGCATGTCAGGGCACGACAGAGCCGGCTACATGGAATCCTTAGGAGGATCTTAAAGTCAGGCAGGTGCTAGAGCCTTGATGTAAGCCCAGGTCACCCATCTGGTAGGTGGCAGAGCCAGGAGGGAGTCCATCTGTCTGGCCCAGAGTCCTGCTCTTCACCTTTTGCTCGGTCAGCCCCACACTCTTACCACCCCCTCCCCCACTTCTTTCAGAATGTTGGGGTTTTAAAAGTGATTTTTTTTTTCTCTACTCAGAGTTGGAGTCTCCACAGACCCACTCTGTGACTCATTGACTCATCTTAGCACCTTCAGACCAGGAACCCCTTGATTCTATCCTGAGTCCCTAGGCTTACAGTTTAAGCCAACTGATTGGCCATCCTGGCCACAGCCTTGATGATAACTGTCAGTCACATCCTGTTGGCTCTGGCCACCTGGGGGAAAAGTACACGCTCTTAACCCTATAGACTAGGGTTCAAATCCCAGCTTGAAACTGTGTGACCTTGGACAAGTCAACCTCTCTAAGGTGAGCTTCCCCAACTATAAAATGGGATTAATAGCAGCACTCATCTAGTGGAGTGGTTGAGAAAATTATCAATACAGTACACAAAGCATACAGTAGGAACTAGTAAATATGGTAAGGAAAGTTAGTGCCACATGTCAAATTTCCATCTCTGACAACCTGTCTTGTCAAGCATACAGACATAGGCCATGCTGACCAGACCCTCAGTGTGTTCCCTGAAATCCAGACAGCATTCCCTGTACAGTTTAGCTGATCTGGCTCTGTACTGCCTCTTGGGCACATTGCTCTGAGTGGAGGTTTTATCTTCCAGGGTCTCAAAGAGAGATAGGGAAACTGAGGCCCAGAGTGGAAAGGAACTAACCCCAGGCAGGCTGGTGGCATAGGGCCTAGGCTCTGCCAGAGAAAACAGTTATGAACTTGGAAGGATATGCCTCAAGAAGCTCACCAACGCTGGGCAGGCAGGCCAGCTTGTTGCCCTCCACATCCTCGGTGTACATGCTGTCAAACAGGAAGGAGCCATTCAGATGCTCAACAAATGCAGCCTGTGGTCAGAAACACAACCAAGCTTGGGTGACTGATTAGCCGCACAGGCTTTACGCTGGGCACTGGGGCTGGTGGATGCTTGGCCCTCCAAGGAAGGCAAGGAAGGGAAGGGCATGCTGAGCTAAGGGTAGGTACATGTGGAGGTCCAGAGGCATAAAACTGAAAGCTGCACATGGCTTGTTCTGGCTGGAGGGAAGGATGGTGACTGTGGGGAGAAGGCCGGCAGGGGCTCAGCTGTGAATCTAGGGGCATGCTGAACAGGGACTTGAACCTTCCTGGCTGCCCACGGGGCACTGTCAGATTGTTTCAGCACAATCTTGCCGGCCCTGTTGGGGAGATAAGGTAGGTGAGGTCTGGGCCTAAGGTGGAGCTGGCCCTGAGGGCAGGTGGCAGGCAGAGTGAGGTAGTGACAGGGCACCAAGCCCTGTGGATGGAACACGATTTACATGCTCCATCAGAGCTAGATACTGCTGCGCAGCATCTGTCTTCAATTAAAAAAATGGGTTTTCAGGGCCTGGGCCCTGCAGACCTTTATTGAACTAGACTGATGCCCTGTGGCCAGCATCCTGGAGCCAGGGCAGAAAGAAGTGAGGAGTAGGGCTCCTCTGGGCCAAGTGTACCTTGTGGTCCTCCAGCTTCTTCTGCCAGGACTGCTCATCCTCCAGCCGGGTCCGAATCAAGTTCTCCCGGTGCTTCAGCTCATCAATACTGTACTGGTGCTTAATCTCCGCTTGCTCTTTCTGACCAGAGAACGAGAAAATGTTACCAGGGGATGCTTGGTCCCTTTGAGGCACACTGGCCTCTGCCATCCTGTGGGCCTCCTACATGTGGGCAGGGGTGTCATGAGAATGCCTTGTTGTCTCATAGCCCTTTTCAAGCATTCTGAGTCTAAGAGAAATTAGGGAAGGACCCAGAGGGGTGCGGTAGGCAGCACAGGATCACTGGCCCTCCACAGCCCTCTACAGCAAGTGTTCTGGCTCTCTTTTAGGGATGCATGAGTGAGAAGTAAAATGAAAAACTCAAGTCACAGCTTGGTCACAAGAGTTTTGGCCCTTGGCTCTGTCCCCTGCCATCTCTTGGTTCTCCTCACCCATCTGGCTCATTCCCCTATGGCCACCAGAAATGCTGGTGTCCCTAGGGCTTGGTGCTCACCCTTTTGGGCTCACTCTACACACCCCAGGTGATCTCACCTGTGCTAAGTCTTCAAGTACAAGATCCTTCATCCTCTGACAATACTCAGGTCTCTACCTCCAGCTCAGACGCCACCTCTGAGCACCAGACCTGTTACTAATGACCTCATGTCTCCTGGTTGCCTCAAGAACACTGCCAACTCACCCTGTCCAAAATGGACCTCTGTCTTCCCAGAGTCCTGTCAAGGTGAGTGACCCTCCACCCCAGCCAGCCAGCACCCAAGCCGGAGACCCAGGAGTATCCTGGACCCTCCCCACCCCCTCAGACCCAGGCCTGTGCCCAAGTCTGTCCATGCTACCTCCTGACTGCCTGTCACATCTGCCCACCCCTCACCAGCAAGCAGCCAGAGCAACCTGTTAAATGCATACCTGATCTTGCAGCCCCTTACTTACCTTGTATGGTTTCCTCTTGGGTGTAGAGTAATAACAAGCTCCTGCTGTGGCCTGCAATGCCCTACCTGCCTCCTCCACTCTCTCTCACCAGCTCTCTGAGCTCCAGCCACTCACCTGCTCATCATGCTGCCTCCTAACCCAGGGCCTCTGCACGTGCTCAGCCTTCTGCCTTCACCCAGTCAACCCTTGCCCATCCTGTAGATAGATCCCTGCTCAAACTCACTTCCTTGAGGAAGCTACCTCATAACCACCAAACCCCATCCTGTACATCTATCTCAGCCCATGTCCTTCCCTCCTGGCATTTTTACATATCTATGAAAAGATCTAATTGTGTGTTGACTGCACAAAGGAAGGCAGGGGCTTCCCCAGAGTCTGTACAATTCCAGAGCCTGAGCTTGCCTTCCACTGTCCTGTGCTGTCTGAGGTCCATCCCAGTCTCCTCCTGAACACGATGTCAGTACACGTCAGTGTAGTTTTATGCCTTAACAGGGGCTTTGGCTGCAAACAGCTTATATTGTACAGAGTTGAAATCCTTCTAAAGATCTCTTGCTATTCATTGAGCTGTACACTTACATT